TACGTTGTCCTGATTTTTTAAATTTTATTAATAAATATGATATTATTGGTTTCCAGGAAACAAAACTTGATGATACTGATAATATAAATGTACCAGGGTTTTCTGTATATTTACATAATAGAAAGAAATTATCTAGGTATAAATCTGGCGGACTCGCTTTATTTGTTAAAACTGAATATGTACCATATATAGTTGTCGATGAAGTAAGATCTAGCAATTTGATTTTATTTTTTAAGATGTTGGGAAAATGTTTTGAACAACCCGAAGTAGATATTAACTGTGGTGTTATATATATTCCGCCACATGGATCAAGGTACTCAAATGAAGATCCTTTTACTGAGTTACAAACGAATTGTTTCGATATTGTTCAGATGATAAACATGTGCTGTTGTTCGGAGATTATAATGCGAGATGTAGCAATAGGGATGATTTTGTAAAGGTCGATAATTTTTTTGTCTAATTTAGACCAATTTGACGAGTTATATATAATGATGAAACACTTATTTTCCAAAAATTTTGAATTATTTCAAGTTCCATTAAATAGAAAGTCAATTGATACTGTTGTAAGTGGTTATGGATATCAGATGTTAGATTTTTGTAAAGGAAATAATTTATTTATTTTAAATGGCCGAGTAGAGCCAGACTATACAAATCCTAAAACGACATGTAGAAGCGCAAGTGTTGTGGATTATTTTTTATCGACCTCATATGTTTTGAAGTATATTGATGAGTTAGAAGTGCATGAATTTTGTGATTTATTTTCTGATGTTCATTGTGCTGTGTCATTAACTCTCAAATGTAAAAAGATGTACAAACTTATAGTACTTATCATACAAATAAATATGTAAAAGAAATAAATACTGATACTATTACAAAGCTTTGGACTCTGAAAAATCAGAGGTGTTTACAGAAAACTTAGATATTTTTGAAATTGCAGAAATTGAAAATAGAATAGAACAATTTAGCTTTTAATGAAAATTTATCGGTAACTGATTTAAACGAAATTGTTTTCAGATATTGGAAAACTTTTTGATGATAGCTCAAGAAAGTCTTTTGGAACAATGAAACCCAAAAGATATAAACATGTTAATAAAAATACCTACCCTTGGTTTGATACCTTTTGTTTAAATGCCAGAAATATTTATCACAAAACAAGAAAAGCGTACAATAGATACAAAACAGAACATTTTAGACAGCTTCTTAAAACGGTAAGTAAAAATTATAAAAAAGCAATGCATAACGCCCAGCAACGACATACTCATGAAAGAATTGAAAAATTAAAGTCATTAAAAACAAATAACCCAAAAATGTACTGGAAAGTTATTAACCCTAAAGTAAAGGCGTCAGAAGCAAATGCAAGTCTAGATGACTTTTTTGATTTTTTCCAAGAATTGAATTCTGATGATCTTGAAAATGGAAATGATTGTCCTGTCTTTGTCGAAAACAATGATATTTTAAATGAAGAAATTAACTCGAAAATTACTGAAGCTGAAATCCGTAAAGCTATTAAAACCCTTAAAAATAATAAAGCTCCACGTATTGACAATATAATAAATGAACAGATAGTATCATCATCCAATACCATGATGTCAGTATATTGTAAATTGTTTATTGTTATTTTTGACACTGGGTTAATTCCAGAATCATGGACTATTGGTGTAATAAAACCAATTTATAAAAATAAAGGTAATCCTTCTCTACCTGAAAATTACAGGCCTATATCACTTTTGAGCTGTTTTGGCAAACTTTTTACATGCATTTTGAATAACAGATTAAATATATATGCAGAAAAGGCAAAACTTATAAAAACATCTCAGGCAGGTTTCAGAAAATCTTACTCAACTAGTGATAACTTATTTATACTCAAAAGCCTAATAGATATAGTGCAGTCTAATATAAGAAACTTTATTGCTGTTTTATAGATTTTAAACAAGCGTTTGACTCTGTTTGGAGAAACGGTCTATGGTATATAATTACGAAAAGAAAAAATTAATGGAAAATGTTTTAGTGTTATCTATAACTTGTATAGTAATATTAAGTCAAAAGTAGTAACAAGTGAAGGTTCTACTAACTTTTTTGATTGTAATGTTGGTGTTAGACAGGGCGAAAATTTGTCCCCGTTTTTATTTAGTATATTTTTAAATGACTTGGAAGACTATTTATGTGATAAAAATGTTAATGGATTTTGTAGAAATTGGGAGGTAGAAAATTTGCAAATGTACTTGAAAATATTTGTTCTTTTGTATGCAGATGATACTGTAATTTTTGCAGAAACTGAAAACGATTTACAAAATGCATTAAATACTTTCAAAACATATTGTGATCAATGGAAATTAAAAATAAATGTTGAAAAAACAAAAGTACTTATATTTAGTAAAGGTAACATAAGACGAAATTTGAAATTTTATATTGGCAATAGCAAAGTAGAAATTATTAAAGAATACAAATACCATGGTATTTATTGTATTAAAAGTTGGTAGTTTACTTCAAGAAGAAATACATAGCAGACCAAGGAAATAAAGCATTGTTTTCACTTAAAAAAATAAATTTACCAAACGAATTACATATTGATCTTTTTGACAAAATGGTATAACCAGCTTTACTTTATGGATGTGAAATCTGGGGATTTGAAAATGTTGATATTTTTTAAAAAGTTCAATTAAAGTTTTACAAATATATTTTTAAACTTAAGAAAATTAACACCAGGTCCTTTATATATGGTATATTGTGAACTTGTCCAGTTCGTATTGATATATACCAAAGAGTTATATTATTTTGGACGAAACTAATAAATTGTTCGAGCGAAAATACCGACAAACTATCTGGTAAGGTTTGCAGCATGTTATATGAAATGAATACTTTAAACAATGTTAAGTCCCAATGGATCGAAAATGTTAGAAATTTGTTATGTTCTTCAGGTTTTTCTGGTACTGTCAGAGGTTTTTAAATGAGAAATGGCTGATTGGGTCAATTTGCCGAAAGTTAAAAGATAATTTTATACAGAAATGGCGCTCTGATATACAATTAACATCAAACACGAATATTTACAAAGGTATTAAAACTGAGTTTGGTAGAAGTGCTTATATTAAGATTTTGTCATCTAGACGAAGCTTATCAATTATGCGTTTTTTTACTAGAAATCATAGGCTACCTGTGGAAACAGGTAGATAGCAGGTTATACCTTCTTCTGAAAGAAAATGTTCCTTTTGTAATGATGATGTAGGTGACGAATTTCATTATTTGTTCAAATGTCAAAAGTATTTAAAACGGTATTTTTATGTTAATCCCAATTTTTTCAAATTAGAAGAATTGTTTAGTAGTGAAAATAAAAGTTTACTGAATAAACTTAGTATTTTTATCGAAATTATATCTAAAAATTTGTAATACTGATATGCCTGGATTGCTTGTTTACTTGAAACATATATTTATTTGCTATATGTATGTTTATTTGTAATGTTACATGTATGATTTGGATATGTTTGTCATTCTCTATTTACATAGCACTTGTTAATATGCCGCCATTATTCACTGTAATTATTATAAAACGATGCTTATGTTGTTTACTTGATGTAAACCTAAGATGGAAATAAAAAAAAATTTGAAATTTGAACACAAGCAATGCGAACGGTCAATAATCTCCCTTATATAGGCTGTCTAAAAATGAACTCACAAAAAATCTCATGCTAGAACATAGAGAAAATAGGGGTAGTTTCAACTTAATCAGTTACTTAAGAAAGCATTATCAATAAATAAGAAAAACCTTGAAAGCGTAACATTTAATCATTAATCTGGAAATGACCAAAAATTTAAGAGGACCAATTTAACACTTGAAAAGTCATGGATTAAAGTGAATCTTAAATGTTTTACTGTAAACAGAATAATTTTAGAGAGAAATAAATTTAAGGAATAAAAGATAAATTAAATTGTATTAGAAATAATCAAAATCTGCCACACCCTGTACCAAAAATTATATTGTCACCTCATAAAGTTTATTTGTATAGCAAGGGAGATTGCTTATTCTAGTAGAGACCAAGTCACAAATTTGGATGTAAAATTATATAAGAGATTTGTAAGTGAATGTTGGGGCATATCTTTCTTATTAGATAAATAGGTGCCGTATAAAACTGTTTAGTTTATTGGACAACCTTAAGCAAGATAATAAATCTTTTACGAAAGCCGAGAGGAAGAAAATAAAGGAATACATAAATAAGATTGCATGAAATATGTTCAGACATATTTTTTTCTCCAAGAAAATTAATAAAAACAAGAATTTTTAGAGACCCAGACAGGAACAATTTTCACCCATATACAACTGTACATGCACGTCAAGATTTGATAAACTTAGTGGAAGTCCATATCAGATATGAAACCATTGCCTATAGACCTTTGAGGAATTAAAATCAATTGACAAAAAACATCATCACAAATTTTATGTTTCAATATATAACTTTATAAGACTGTTTTGAAACATTTTAATGTCGTAACGATGAACAACCTGTCCAATTATGAATTGTTTAATCATTTTTAATAAATGCACAAAATGTTACATCAAAATGCATTTGTAAAAGAACATATCTGAAATGATCAAAATTTCACTATTTTTATCATTCTTCATTCATCAAATATCTCAGCAGCGTCACACAGAGGTATCAGTCATAATTTGGAAACTTACAAGTTAATGCAGCATATCAAATGTCTGACCATCAGCTTATGCCTCACTGTTCTTTAGAATGTAAAACTTTTTAACATATGAGAATCTTCCCTTTCAATGCAATGGAAACTAAAGTGTTGCATGGTTATAAAATTATCCGAACAACTATGAATGAACTTCATAAATTAACATCCATGCCAATTTTATTAACACTATCCACATGGTATCAGAAGAGTTTTAAAGGAAAGTACTGTAAAACCGTAAAAAAATCCCAAATGTCAACAAAGTCCCAGAATGAGTTAATATACATTTTCTTTTTTAATTCAATGCAATAAAAAAAGACTACAGCTTTCCTTTTGATCATTTATTACAACAAAATGTAACATACAAATATTTATAAACTGAACACAGTATGATGGTTATATATGAAGCAAAACATAAACAGGTAACATTAAAACTAAAACAATTGACATTCTTTTAGTTCATATATTCATGAAATTAACTAAAAATAATATTCAGCAGCAAATGACATTGTAAAACTAGTTTTCTCAAAATCTGAATCTGCTGTAGATTTAATATAATTTTATAAACATCATCAAAATTAAGATTTCAACTCTGCTAATGCATTATCACAAGTTCATTGCATTTCAAACAATAACATGATCCAGGATAAACAAATTAATTTTACATAACATATCAGGAATACCAAAAGTTCACACATAAGGCTGCCAGCCAGGGAAGATTCTAGCAAGGTTTTTCGGATTTCTAGCTTCCTGTATAAGGTAATTCACCTGGCCGGATAAACTAAGTTGAACACCGTCCTCTACCCCCTGTAGTTTCTGTCGTAACCTCAACAATACACGTTCTGCTACTTTGTTCAGGTTCTCCTGTGTCTCACCTGGATAATATTAAAATACGTCTTAGTTATTTTGTCATGTGAATCTTATAATGATCCAAAGTAACACTAATTCACACTTGTAGTATAACACTTTGTATTATTTTATGATGGTTAAAACACCATGCATATTTTACAATTTATAAATCTCCTTTAAATTATAACAAGACGTCATTTACTTGAATCATTAACACAGCCTCAGCATGATATTAATATTAAATTTTGTATTTATCTTGTCTGAATGATGAAAAGAATTTCTGTTACCATCAACATGATAACAGATATATAGTCCTCTTTTAATAATAATGTTACAAAATCCCATTTACATATGAAATAAAAACTTAACATGATTCAGAAAAAATGATAAACTTTTGTAACCACTAGATAATGCAGTAAGTACAGCTCTATGACCAATTAAAGTTAAAAATGCATTCTAGGATCTATGATAGACTTGCCAGCCACCACAGATTATCTATATTTCTTACAGTCTACATTTGCCCATGTATCTTTTAAGCAACCTATAGTTTACATTGTATCATTTAAAAGTGTAGATTTAACATCACTTACTATTTCTTGAAGTACTTGATTCAGCAAGATCTATGATATCAGCTGTGGTGTTAGCAACGTCAACAGTATCACCACTTTCCTCCCTCCCTCTCTGTCGCTGAAGAGCATACGCCTTCGCCGGCGAGATTGTCCAAACATGTAACGGGTCATACAGGAGAACTTCTAATATTGTTAATAATGCTTCCTGGTTACTTCTCATTACTTCCATTGTCTTCTCACAACATCTGGGGGTTATTAATTAATAACAGAAATATATTTTTACTCTTTTCTTTATCATAAGTTTTGTAACATCATTAATTTGTATATTTCTTTATATATATGTATAAACAAAGACATTAATTTAACAAAGGTTTTAGTTTTATAAATAAAATAATACAGTAATGAAATTATAATTACATGTAATTCTTTTTCCAACTGATACTTCATGTACAATCAATAAAAATGTAAAATGCAGTGAAAAGGTACATGTACATGCATATCCTAAAAACAGTTTCATCCCGATTATTGTTTAATTTTTCAAGCTGTTTAAACAGTGAGCTGGTATGGCCACTCCAGATTGAAGGTATGACCTTTAAATTAGACCTTCATATTGAGCCTGCATTGCTTCATAACACAGTCTGCCTATCAACACATTATGGTGAATATTTGACAAAAAATTTATCAGATAACAAGCAGAAACAAAATAGAAGCATCATTATAAACATTCCAGTGTGACCTTGACCTTATGTTGTTGTGTAAGTTGAACACAACAAATCATTGGAGAAGAAAAACCCCAACAACCTTACATGAGCCTTATATGTGTTTGGCCTACATTTTAGAACATAAGGGAAATTTCAAACTTCCCCTAAGGTAGCAAATCCCAACTACCTCTCTATACATAAAATTGAGTTCAACCAAGCACCTTTATATAATCCCTGACAATCATTAAGAATCACAAATGCCAAGAGTAAACAAAATAGCATTACTCTTATACTAAATGCAGATAGCTTTGTGAATGATAAAAATGCAATTACACCCACCTTCTAAACACTCCCTCTACCCCTGATGCACCCATGGCGTCCTCAATGTCTCTGGTGAGTCTGAATGGAACAGTTTCTGGGGTAGGTAGGATTTTACCCTGCTCAAAAGCTATACCTAAATCTATATGTACCAGTTCTGCTGTGTTACAGTCAATCAAAATATTCTGTATGTGGCGGTCCCCAAGTCCAAGAATATATCCCACTGTAAAATAACATGGTAACAATTATCAGGATAACATATATGGTAACTTAAAGGTATATAACACCTCATTTAAATAATGGTTTTTAAGCATGTTAGATACTTACCACCTGATGAAAGTAGCGCTGAATATGAAATTATTTGTCATATAAGTAGCAAAATGTAAACAAAGATAAATTTTGTCTTCAAGAGCACTGCATGCAGTGTTAACTCTCATCTTTTAAGGGCAATGCCAATAAATAACTAATTTTGACAAAAATACTAAAACTCTCATCTTTTAAGGGCAATGCCAATAAATAACTAATTTTGACGAAAATACTAAAACTCTCATCTTTTAAGGGCAATGCAAATAAATAACTAATTTTGATGAAAATACTAAAACTCTCATCTTTTAAGGGCAATGCCAATAAATAACTAATTTTGACCAAAATACTAAAACTCTCATCTTTTAAGGGCAATGCCAATAAATAACTAATTTTGATGAAAATACTAAAACTCTCATCTTTTAAGGGCAATGCCAATAAATAACTAATTTTGACAAAAATACTAAGTTAAAAAGGGGCATAACTCCAAAGTAGAGTTTTCAGAATTATGTCCCTTGTCTAACTGTGATAAGCAAGTATACCATGTCTCATATTGGTACTTTCAAAATATTTGAATGATGGGATATCATTAAAGTTTTTGCACCACGGCGACAGCAATTATACACTGCGAGAATAATACTTGATGTGAATAGCTTTCTTAGTTTCTCAAAAAATGGACTTTGAAATAAAGGTTAACTAATGCGGACACCAACACTGACAGAGATCATGACAATACCTCCATTTTAGGAAGATGATACTGAATGTCATTGTTAACAAGACTTTAACTGACCTATAGAGTTGGTAGCTACACTCCTTGTATATGCCAGTCTTCTCTCAAACCACACTGGTGGGGATGTAAACTTCTCAAAGAAGAAATGTCGAAACACTGGCTGGAATTTTTCACAGATCTCCTGATAAACCTTGTATTTACCCTCCGTTGTTGTTGCAGCCTGAGAATACACATAATCACTGATTTAAAGTGACATTATGCCCATCCAAGGGTATTTAGTGAGTGAACAGGTGAAAGTCAAAATAATTATTTTTAACTAAGTTTGTATGAATGATAAATAACTAAAGTGTTCCAGGGAAATTTATATAAGAATCCATCGTAATTTATTGTGACGTTCAATTTATAAAAAGAGCCAGAGTCTTTTTACATCATAAGCAGGTTTATTATTTATCCTAAACATTTTCCAGTATCAACTGTTGGTCAATCACCATTTATAACTGTCAATCTTTGTTATAACAGTCAATCTTTTGAAATATAGTCAATTCAGCTCAACCTGACAATGAAAATATGTGCATAATGTCATTTTAACTATCATATGTTTTCTTTGTTATCATTTATTTTTACATGATCTTCCGTATTTCTCAAGTATACATATACATAACCAACAAATTAATGCTAACCAGCCTTTCACTGGTTAAATATGATAATTTCATAACCATATTTGGAATTGTTGTTAACTTTGTACTTCCGTTTAGCATTCAGTTAAAAAAAATCTGGAAAATATGACATAACTCACAGTGAGTTTAGTTCTACAGTCAATATAGTAGAGATCTTTGGGTCTGTAGCGTGCATGAGCCCCTTTACTACCAACCAGATACTCGCCCACTGGTAATGTACCCTCACACCATTCTAGAAGACCACTTCGCTGAGACAAGGGTATAACCTAATGTTAAAAGTCAACATGTGTACAACATATATAACACCATATATATGTAAATGCTAGAATACATGTATATGTAAAAGTTTGAAATTATGTATATGTATTTAATCATATGTTGTTGTTAAAAAAAAAATCTTCTTCACCCTTAACAAGGAAAGATAACTCATATCGAAAATATGAAACTCCAACATAATGTTCCATTCACCAACAAAATGTAGAATCTTTTCATCTACCCTTTTAGTTAACCTCAAAATACATCTGTAAATAAAACAGTAGCTATAAGTCTTTACTATTTATTCCCTACAATATTAGATTAAGGCAGCATGGCCTGAATGTTTACTTTGCAGGACAAGTTATCTAAGGATTACATGGGTTCAAACCATGTCAAGGGCAATCCATTATTTCCTTGGGCAAGAAACTTCATACTCACAGCTTTGTACTAGTTGGTTCCAGAAACAATTTCTAAAGTGTTTCTACAAGCTTATAGCTTCCAGGACAATTATACTTCCACACAAATAAATAATGTATATACTAATATGAGAAGGGAAAATTGTTGTAGTAAATGAAACCTTATATTTCCGGATTTGTAACTGTCGTTTTCGTGTCTCAGAATCTTTCTGTAGTAAATTGTTGACCATATCAAACACTTGCTGCATCACAGCATCTTGTCGAAGATCATCTCGTCCCTGTAACAATTAGACAAAATGTTGTACATAATGACTATACAGTATAACCTGCATTAAGCAACCAGTCAAGGGAGTAACAAGGGAGTAACACAAAGTGGCTGCTTAAATGAGGTGCCTGCTTAAGTCAGGTCATATTCAGAACAAATGGTCAATTTGGGGAGCATTCAAACTGACTGGATAAGGAAAGTGACTGCTTAATACAGATGACCGCTAAGGTTTGACTGTATCCTGAAAAATGTATGCTTGCTACAATGGAGATTAAAGTTACATTAAATAAATTTCATAAAAAAAAAAAATAGCGACATTTCATTAATAAATTGGGTTTCATATCGACTCCAGATCTTATTTTGGTGTCCAGGCAACCAAAATGAGTTTAATGAGCATACAAATGTGCAACCTCATTGTGGCGAATTCGGAAGTACAATTTCTGTTTGAATGAGAAACTCCGCCTTCAGATCATCCATACATCAATATTAAATCAACAAACATGACTATAAGTAGCAGTCCTAATTTAACGGTATATTTCCGCATTGTAACGGATATTTTCATACAAATTTAATCTGTTTTATGAGATGATTATTTTTTTCTGAACCACAGGCCTAGTGCACCGTGAAGCTTAAACGGTAAAAGTGTGTTTGCACAAGAAAATCTTATATTTGCTGTGTTCCGGATAGCAACTATAACTCCGTGACGTAGCGCATACACGAGCTGATTATAGTCTTCATTTGCATGTTAAAATTCGTATCGAACTTAAGTGTTACCGTGGGGTTTTCCATTTAAAATCCTAATTTATGAACAATATTTGATGCGATTTACAACGATACTGTTAAAAAGGTTAATGAAACTGTAGAATGTTTAGTTTTTAGGCCGCCGGCAAAAATATTTTAACATATCTATTTAATGTAACTTTAAGAATTTATACCAATATATATGCCATTGCTTGTCATCAAAGTTGAATAAAAATGTATTCACTTTCTATAAGCAAGTGTTTCAGTCACAGTCAGGTTAGCAGTTAACATATAAATGATCCTTGACATACATCATGTATAATAATTACCCTATTTTTCAAAAAATAAAGTTTGCAAACTTTCTGACCAATATCTTTTGTAAACCAAGCAAATGCCAAATTTTGACTTTTTCAAATTTCATCTTTAAAACGGAATCATGGAAACCAAACGAATCCAAGATTTGTGAAACTAATCACTTCCCCTTCTATGATAACTAGGCCTTCTATTAAAACCAGGAAGCTATGACTTTAAACATACAATTATCAACACAACAGGTAAACCAAGCATGTATCTTAAGCTTATTATCTCATACCTGTGCTTAACATCACCTATTTCTAATGAATGGCTTCAGAATATAAAATCTAAATAATGTTTTTGCTTAATGTATTTTTTGTAATGAACCTGCCCAATTTTAAATTCTGAACAGTCCATTTGTTAATTGAATAAATGGTTTAAAATTATTGATGTAGATAGGAAAATAGAACAACCAACAGCATGGAGGCTGTTTAAACTGCATAAATGTACAGGCCAGGCTCTTTCTTTACTGTTTAAAAAAGGTCAGTATTTGTTAACATAAGTATTAGAAGATTAAGAGTTCAGAGTAAGTCACCTTGACAATTGTCTGCTCTTGGTTTACCATCCAGATCCAAAAAAAAAAACCGGGCAGGGGGGGGGGAAATTTTAAAATCCCTTTCGGGCCCCCCCCAAAAAAAAGGGTTTTTTTTAAAAAATTAACCAAACCGGCTAGTTTGAACGTCGGCTCAAACTTCTCTATATGGGGAATATCTCTGTAGTCACAACTGGCATTCACCTGTAAGTAAATATCATCTTATATATTATACCTTACATAAATGTGTTCCTTTCTTTTATTTATACAAGTGTCAGCTGGCCTTTCAATAATACAATAAAAGATTTAATCAGGCACTTTTTTGTACAGCAAGTGATTCCCATGCCAGCTAATTTAAAGAAGTATCACCAAAGTTATTGAATTATTATCATTAAAAACATTTATCTTTGATGGATATGAAGATGGGCATTTATAAAATTGATCAACCAAATACACTTCACTCTTATTTGTATTATATGACCTTTAATCTCACAAGTGCAGCCAAGGTTGTTTTGAGTTGCAACACCATTTTGATTTGAATATTTCATAAAATGAGTACATCAATGAGCGTCCACCCACTTTCCTCAACTAGGAGAGCATTTGATTAGTAATCTAGTAGTCTATGGCTTGATCCTTGGGCGAGGTAAAATTTCCCTGAGACAATTGATCTTGGATATTAAGTCAAATGGTCATTTGTCTTTCACAGATGATGAAAAAATTCATGTGGGATAAGTAGTCGTGTCATTTTCGGAGAAATTGTTAATTACTTGTAAGCTATCTAGGACAGCCTGTTAGAAGGTTGATTTTTATTGTATAAACATACATTTATGGAAATTTAAAAAATAGTGCATTAGATGGTGAAATATAATGAAAAATAAATAAAGATTTATGGAGATATTTGATAAAGAAAATTTTTTCTATTGTTTGAAATCATTTGCTTTTTGGATTATGTACATGGTGTAAGACTTGATTTTACCTGGATTTTTACCTGTGATTGTAAGGATAATGGATTAAGCTGGATTAAACTGGACTATAATTTATCACATACAAAGGAATTCTAAGATACAATTGGACAATAATAGATACTACACTTTAAATAATTGTTTAACAGTAAACTTTGACAGCAAGTATAATAATTGATAAAATGTCTAGTAAAGGTCAAGGATCAGGACAAGGGTCAAAGGACAACTCTACTGGTACAAAATTTAAAACATCAATGAAGGGGAACACAGGAAAACAACCTCCAGCTAAAAGAGCAATTTCAGAAGTAAGTAATGACAGCACATTAAGTAATGACAGCATGAATATGTCATTAATACAAAATCAGCTAGACTTAATGTCAGAAAATCTTGAAGAGCTTAAAGGAGACTTAAAAGGTATCATAAAAAAAGAAGACATAGAATCAATAATTTCAAGATCAATCACAAATGCCATGACCCAATTACAGCAAAAAATGGAAATCATTATAAAAAAAGAGATTCAAGAAAAAACTAAAGAGTTAAATGACAAAATAAGTTCACTTGAGTTTGAAAAATAATCATTTGAAGGAAAGTCTGACAAAAAACAAAGACAGAGACCGGAAAAAGGCTAAGCACAATAGAAGAAAGAATATCTCAAAATGAAAAAGCTGTCAAAGATGCCAACAAAAAAGCAAATCATAATGAACAGTACTCCAGAAAAAATAACATAAAAATAATGGACATAGCTGAAGATAGAAATGAAAATATCCAAATATTGACAGATAAAGTAATAAACCTTCTGCAACAAAAAGATGTCAAACTCGAGAAAGAAGAAATAGCAGCTATCCACAGACTACCTTCAAGGAATCACAAAATAAGACCTGTCTTAATAAACACAATCAACAATGATGCCAAGTCCAAAATAATGAGGAAAAGGAAAACCATGAAAGACGCTGGACACAAGTTGGTAGATGATGTAACAACATTAAACTCTGGTTTAATAAACCGTTTACTGTTGCACCCTACAATAAAAAGTGCATGGTTCTTTAATGGATCTGTCTATGGACTAACTGAAATGGATGAAAGAATAAAATTTGACTTGTATGACAATATTAATGAAGTGATAAAAACTTTCAGAGAAAAGAAGACCCATGTAAAGACAACATCTACAAGATAAATGTATCATAGACAGGATGAAGAGAACAGATGAAATATATATGTAATTATATACTAAAATATAATGATTTCTTTTTTTTCAGTTGTTTTCAAAAAATTAATGTGTCCAGCAATTAAAGACAAATAATTAAAAAGTTAAAAAGTACATATTTCTAGATTATTTTTCAATAAATTCTTATGTTGATATAAGCAAAAATGGCTACATTTAAGTAGCTTTTTAATATATTTATTTCTTAACTAAGTGATTTTCTAAGCAGGTGTTAGTTAATTCTTAATAACATGCTATACCTATATACATGTAAATTATTTAGTTATTTATAGAATATTGGAAAATTGTATTATCATATAAGGCCATTTCATGCTATAAATGATAAATCCTATTTGCCAAGTAATGCTTAAAATAGATTTGTGGATGGAAGACCTTGACAATTTATAAATTCTTGTATAATATACGTTATACGTAAAAAAAATTTCTATTTTTTTAAATACAATAATTGTTATTTTGATCTGGCAATAGGTATATTTATTAAATAAATGGTCTATATCTTAAATAAAGTACTTGTTATTTTGAACTGGTAATTATATATTCATAAAACTTGTGAGTGAAATATGGATGAAATAAACACTTACTTTTATTTTCATCTTTTCTAAATAGAAATTTTATTTGATTCATTATCATATGATATTTGTGTGTATTCATGTATCACTTTTAATGTCATCATACTGTAAAGAATTCCAATTTCTCTATCTACAAAAAAACCTGTCCAGTAAGTATTTAGTTTTGCTGCTGGTTAACATCTATCCCTCGCCTTTATCGGGAGGGAGTTTTACTTTCAGTGGGATGGTTAGACTCACTGGGTAAAATATGGTACACAATATCCTGTGAGGTTGCCAGTAGTAATTCTATTACTGCTATGATAGAGAAATATTGACTTATTACTTATAACATTATTTTTTGTCTATTATTTACTCTAAGTTTCATATTACACTTTATGTTACCATGATCACATGATGTTATAATTGTATTATTTATCTATTTGCATAACAAAGTCTAAATAAAACATATTTTCTGTTCTATATAATTTACAGAAAATTCAGTTTGTTAAATTGTTTATGAATAAAACATTTGTTTCTGTTTTTCATTTGTTTACTTGTGAATACCACAACAAGTGAAAATTGTTTGTTTTATACATCTCTAAGAGAATGAATCACACGTTTATGAGAAAATCTTTGATATCCTCTAATTCATAATTATCATTCATTGAATGTGTTATTCATTTAGAAATAACAATGAAAAAGAATGTTTCAATTTTTGATATAATTAGATGAAACATAAACATATTATGCATCTTCTACAAAAAAATTTTTCTTCCATAAGTAAATTTTACTTGTTTATTGGCAAAATGTATTTCTTTCTTTACATACAAGCACATTTTTTTATATTTTTGAGGTCAATTTGTTATTTAGAAGTGTTTCTCTGGGTCCATGTACATATTGTATTTACTTTACTTAAGTGTAGCTATGTATATTGTAGATATAGTGTTGAATGTATTATTGTAAATATTAGTTATGAGTAGTCTTAATATTTTCTCTTACAATTGTCGAGGTTTACACGATAGTATCAAGAGAAAAGATGTTTTAGATTTATTTCAGTCAAAAAAAGCTGATATTCTCTGCCTACAGGAAACACATTTTATAAAAGAAATTGAAAAGAAAATTTATTCTGAATGGAATGGTTTATGTTTTTACAGCCATGGTAGGTCTAATGCCAAAGGTGTGGCTATTTTATGCAGAAAAGGTTTAGATATATAAAAATTAATTCTGTTAAAACTGATGATTCAGGAAATTTCATAATTTTACAAATAATGCTTGATTCTATAAATTTCACATTAGTTAATATTTATGCGCCAAACATAGACAGTCCTAGTTTCTTTAAAAACATTTTTGATACTTTAGATTCATTTGATGATAATGACTCTCTAATTATTTGTGGAGATTACAACCTTGTTCAAAATCCTGACTTAGATTATTATAACTATAAATCAAAAAACAATAATGTAAAGGCAAGAAATTTTTTAATAAGTATTATTGAAGAAAAAGACCTCATTGATCCCTTTAGAGAACTGCATGGTAATATGAAAAAATATACATGGAGACGAACCAACCCTATACAACAAGGTAGACTAGATTTTTTTCTTATATCAAATAGTTTATATCAGTATGTACGAAAATGTGATATTGACATTAGTTATAAATCTGACCATTCAATAATATATTTAGATTTTTGTTTTAGTTCTGTAAGTCATGGAAAAGGTTTATGGAAATTTAATAATGCTCTGTTATATGACATTGAATTCCTTGATATTATAAATAAAAAAATAGATGAAGTAAAATTACAATATTGTTTACCAGTATACAATATAGACTATGTTTTAGATCCAAAAAAACAAAGATGTAAATTTTGTTATAAATGATGAACTTTTTTTAGAAACACTTTTGATGGAAATAAGAGGTAAAAAACTATATCTTACAGCTCTATATAAGGTCAAAGAAAGAAATACTTATGAAAAAAAGTTAATTGAAGAAATTAATCTTATAGAGCAAAACCTGACAATTGAAAATAAAGACAAACTTTTACACTTACATAATGAATTGACTGAATTAAGAAATAGAAAAATAAGAGGTGCTATGATAAGGTCAAGGTCACAATGGATTGGATCTGGAGAAAAGCCTACTAGTTATTTTTTAAACTTAGAAAAAACACATTGTTCAGATAAAATTATTCCTTTTCTAGAACTTGATGATGGATCCTTTATATATGATCAAAAAGATATTCTTACAAAGACATGTAGTTATTATGAAAATTTATATAAAAATGTTGATATAACTGAAGAATCTAAGATTGATATGGAATTAGAAAATTGTAATGTTACCAAGTTGTCTCAAAATGAAGCATTGAATCTTGAAGGTCTACTTTCATATGATGAAGTTTCTTTTACATTAAAAAAACATGAAAAATGATAAAAGCCCAGGTTGTGACGGATTTACAGCAAATTTTTTTAAAATATTTTGGAATAGAATTGGACATTTTGTTGTAAAAGCTATAAACTTTGCTTATACTGTTAATTCTTTTTCTAGAAATCAAAAGCTAGGAACAATAACATGCATTCCAAAAGAGAAAAAACCAAAACAATTTTTAAAAAATTGGAGACCAATAACTTTATTAAATGTAGTTTATAAATTAGCTTCAGGTTCCATAGCAAATAGACTTAAACTTGTTTTAGATATTTTAATTTCAAAGGATCAGACAGGATTTGTTAAAAATAGATATATTGGTGAGAACACTCGATTATTGTATGATATTATGAAATATACTGAGGATAATGATATACCAGGTTTAGTAATGATGATAGATTTTAAAAAAGCATTTGATACGTTATCATTTACATTTATAGAGAAATGTCTAGAACTTTTTCAATTTGGTCCTATGTTTAAAAAATGGATATCTTTATTTTTATATAATACTGAAACTTGTGTTATTTTAAATGGATATTTATCAAAGTTTTTTAAAGTTAAACGAGGTTGTAGACAAGGCGATCCTATTTCACCTTATATCTTCATTTTATGTGCAGAGATTTTAGCAATAAAAATAAGACAATGTAAAGATGTTAAAGGTATAAATATAGATGGGGAAGAATATAAAATTACACAATTTGCTGATAATACTTCACTTTTGCTAGATGGATCAGAAAATTCCCTTAATACTGTTTTAAAGTTATTAAACACGTTTTCAGAAATTTCAGGATTGAAAGTAAATTTTGATAAAACTAAAGTTATTTGGATAGGCTCTCTTAAATACAGTACAAGATCTATTAAGACAAAATGGAAACTGACATGGGGTGATACACAGTTTAAATTGTTAGGTTTGATATTTGATGTTGATTTAGAAAAAATGATAGAGTTAAATTTTAATGAAAAACTTCAAAAAGTTAAAAATAGTATAGGATACTGGAAAAAAAGAATGTTAACACCTATAGGAAAAATTACTGTTGTTAAGTCATTACTCCTTCCTTTATTCACTCATTGCTTTACAAGTTTACCAACACCTAATTCAGCATTTTTGAAAACACTTAATGACTTATTTTATAAATTTATATGGGAAGGTAAAGCAAAGATAAAGCAATCAGTAGTTATAAGGTAAAGCAAAGATAAAGCAATCAGTAGTTATTAAAACATATCAGGAAGGTGGTCTAAATATGATTGATATTGATAGTTATATACATTCTGTAAAGATAAAATGGTTTAAAAGATATGTTAGTAATAGTAACAGTAAATGTTATAAGCTAGTGATGGCTTTATTCAATATTGATAAAGTGTTTAGCACAGGTAAATTGTTTTGTAAATTGACAATTGATAAAATTAAAAATGCTTTTTGGATAGATGTTTTAAAAGCTTATATGATTTTTACAGATAAACTTTTGTATAGACAGTTTTAGAACAAGTGTTACAAATGCCATTGTTTTACAATCATAACTTGTTAGCAGGAAATAGATACTTTTATATCAAAATTTTTTATGAAAAAGGAATCAGATTTGTTAATGATATTATTAATCCCCAAGGCGATTTTGTAGATTTAACTTACTTAGAGCAGGTGACACAAAAACAAGTAAATTTTTTACAATATCATAGTTTGAAAAAAGCAATATTATTATATACACAAAAGCTTAACATTTCTATTTGTAAAGATTTTTATTAATGTTCAATACCCTATTATGAGTTGTTATATAAAACCTATTTTAATTACACAAAATATCAAAAAGAAATATGTTTATGATATTCTAGTTAAAAATCAAGATGTACCAACATGTCAAGAAAAATGGAACTCATTTTTTACAAATTTTGATATAAATTGGAATTTAATATATAGTTATGTATTTAAATGTACCAAAGATTCCTATATTCAGTGGTTTCAGACAAGAATAATTCATAGAACTTTAGCAACAAACTCACTTTTATTCAAAATGAAAATTGTCAATAGTAAAATGTGTACTTTTTGCAATTGCCAAGAGGAAACTCTGTTGCATTTATTTTGGGAATGTCCAAAAATTCAATTGTTATTTCAATATCTGAAAGACAAGATAGATAATTTGGATGATAATTTTAATTGTAAATCATTTATTTTAGGTTCTGAAGTTAATGATTTTAAATATGATATTTTGTTTTTAGAATTGAAAAGATATATTTATTTGTCAAAGAGAAAAATCGTGTTACCTACAATACCTGGTTTTAGAAATAGTCTTAAATTGGCGTGGAATATTTACAAAAATACAAATTGGACCAAACATGTAAATGAAGGATGGCAAATTGTAATTACTTTAATAAACTAAAAGGCTACACTAAATCAATTTACCCCAAACCAATATTCTTTGTTTGTTTTGAAGCTGTTGCATAATACATTATCATACATAATTGTTATACATATTATATGAAAATTGATTGAATGTTTGAATATAATGTATATTATAATTATATAAAAAATATTATTATAGATGATGATTTAAATATTATGTATATATCATGTAAGGTATCAGAGGGATGACCCCGACCCTCTCATACCTATTACGGGGTAAATAAACGGGGTTACCCAGTTGGGGCCTCAAAAAAAAAAACAAAAAAAAAAAAAAAAAAAAAAAAAAAAAAAAAAAACATACATTTATGATTCATTTACAAAAACATAAGTTAACATCTTTCAAAAATTACGAAATTAATGTTATTTAAGTATGACATTATACATCAACATTCTACATGTACCTTTATTTCCTTTGTAGGTACTGGCACATTCCGCAAACCTCTCACTTTAGTGAGCCACAACTGTGCTGGCAACTGGATTGGCTCTGATATTATAAAACAAAACGGAACCAAATAAATTAAACATTATAAATCTATCTTGAACTCTCTGTGATCAACAGATTCATGCATTTATTGTGATGAGAAAACTACAGTACTTTCATGAAAGAATATGGTTTACACACTAAACTCAGATTGCAGAAAAAACAAAATAGTAATGGATAATTTTGTTTCAGAAATTTTTTTTCTTATTAGTTATTATATTGTAGTGTGTTATATATATATATAATAGAGGTACTTCTTGTTCCAACGTTTGGAAAATGGTTATGCAGTTATAGAAACAACATAATTACAGTTTTAAAAAATTAAAATAATAGCTTTTACCAATTATGGCTTTCCTGGTTTGGTTAAGTTAACTTAGATATCAAATAAAAACTTGTATGGCCATATCTTAACTTTCTATATTCACTTTCTTAAAAATGAAGACACCAACTAATATATGAAAGTATTATTAAAGGCAAAAACAAAATTAGGAGGAAGAGTTAGGATGATCACTGTGATTTTACCGTTTGAGCCTGCACATCCGCGCAGTCTGATCAGGATCCATGCTGTTCGCTATCAGTTTCTCTTCTTGTTATTGGGTTTGTAAGCGAACAGCATGGATCCTGATCAGACTGCGCGGATGCGCAGACTGGTCTGGATCCATGCTGGTCGCGAACGCATTATGTTGGTTTTGTCATGACACGGCTCAAATGTAGTATTATAACTTACTTGTTTGTGTCTTATATTCCTGGACATTCCAGTTAGCTAATTGTATGTAAGCATCACAAAGTGTCTGTAGATCTTTCACAATGTCTCCAACCTTTTTATTCTCCCTTAATTTTCCTACCATATTTTTAGCAGCAAGCACTCTACCCTGTTTATACAACAAATAATTCAATATCTAAAATGTTTGGTTTTTGTTAACTTCATTGGAACTGTTACCACTTTTGTACAGTATTTTTTATTAACACTCTAGGAAGGGATCATCTATTTAATAGATTTTTTTGTTACGTGTTATAGAGTTTTATGACAGTGCATAACAGACTATAATGCAAATAACTACCATATTGTTTTAAAACATACTCACAAACATGAAAGTTTTGTATTTACAGACCTAAATAAACACAAATTCCACTGAGGTAGAAACAGTGAAATGCCTAAATTTGAAAATCTGACATAGATCCACAGAATCGATTTCAAAGAAATAATATAGAAAAGATAACACAGAAATATGCACAGAATTAAATAGAAAATCGCTACTTAGTACAATTCTTAGCCCAATTTGCGTCAAAAGCGTTTTAATACTTCATTTTTAGGTAATTTTGCACACTTGAAAAACAGAGATAGCAAACAATCTAAAATTTTGCATACATGTTATTGGTATATAACTTCATCAAATGGTATAATTTTGAAAAACATTTCTTAGCAAGTCGTGTTAAAAAACCCTCAGTGGAGTCCATTTGTCAGTATTTGTTCTTGATAGAAAATTACCACTTCATTGTAGGGAAAGTCTAAAACATAATTTCAACAAGTATGAAAAAACATAAACAACTATTCATCCAGAGGTGATATCCCTGAGATAAAAGATGAGTATCATTTATGAACATGAACAACACACACACGAATAAAATGAATGAATACCTCTTCGGCCGGGTTATCAGCCTGAGATTTGGACATCTTACTGCTCCTTCTCATTGTCTTCGCCTGCTGTAACAACTCTGTATCACGATTGGCATTAGCCAATGCCAGAACACAAAACAAGGTATGGTGTGGATGCGACACTGCTGTCTCATAAATCATCTAAAAATTATAACATTGTTCTTAGTTTTATCACAGTGAAAATCTTTCCCTTCAAATATATTCATTGTTTTCTTTTCTAAGATTTATATATACAGGTTTAATTGATAAATTACATAGTAAGTGTTGTGTTTTTTTTCAACTGTTGCATTATTTCAGGCAAAAGTAAGCACCATTTATGAACCATCAACCTTCTGTAAGAAAACTAGACAGCTTCCTAACTTGAAAGATTCTAAAGTTCTTAATAGGATTTGTACCAAAGAGGTGAGCGACAAAAAATTAGTAAGCAACCTTAACCACTTCGTTAGTCAGAGGTCTTTTGATAAATATATAGAACTTTCTTAAATACAATGATATGACACACCAACCTTGTCAAGAATTTGAAGGAAAGGTTGTGAAGTATCTCTGTGTGGTTTGACATCCATTCTTGCTGCTAGCTGGTACATCAGTGGTAACCATTTGTATGTCTTGATTTCATTCACTGCTTCCTATAGTGACAAGACATCGAAATATGTAATAATACTTAACATGGTCGAAACTATTTTGTTCAAGAAACAGATTAGTAGATTATCAAATTATTCAACCTGCACTGTTGATGAAGTGTTTCTTCATTTTTATCGTATTTTGTTCAAGAGTTTGTTCATTTTGATCAATTTCTAATTTCTACACCAAAAAGAACAAAGTGAATGTAATTTTAAATGAATTAAATATTTGGGTTCTCTTGTTTTATAAATTTGATCTAAAGTCATAAAACACAAGAGCACCAAATGTGATGATAACGCTCATATGTTAAGGGCAACAACTATCAATAACAAATTTTTTTAAACATTAGAAGTTAAAAAGGGACATAACTCCTAAAATGTTGCTATTAGGAAAACGTTCTTTGTCCAACACCTGCACCTTTTGTTATGATAAGCAAGTATTCTAAGTTTCGTATCGATAACATTTAAAATATTTGAATAAGAATGGGATACATTAATGATATTGCACCATGACAATGTTAATGCAGTGATCATATACCTCAACTTTTTTTTCAAATCAGACAAGGTAAGAAATGATCTTAAAACTATTTTTTTTTTAACGAAAAAAGATAAAAAAAAATTTTCTTTTGACCTTCATAATCATATTACCGATAATAACATGTGTGACAATAATTTGTCCTGCAGGAACTATAATAACTATAGATTTTTTTTGGTTGGATTTTATGTCGCACTAACACAGTTGAGGTAAAAAAAATTTGGTAACTCTCCAGCTTTACTGGTGAAGGAAGACCTCAAAAGGCACTATGTGCATTCTTTCAGACACAAACAGGTACATGTGTAGAACCACCGAGGTTAAGCTAGCTGCATAGCTTCCCCACATGAAATAATTCAAAGTCCATGCAAGATTCAAACTCAGAGCTATTAAGGGCAAATGGTTTGAAATCACTCAGCCAAATATAAATGGAAATAAAATCAAACATATCAATATACCTCCATCATACTATTCACGTCCTTATTATGCACGTTATTAAACCAGAGAGATGTCAGTCGGAACACTCGTAAATTATGCTCGTCTCCACACCTCAAACATTTGATATAATTGAGTACGGCCTTCAGTAGATAAATGTTCCTATCTTCCTGCATACACAGCAGCTCATGTTGATCTATCTCTGTTTGCTTCTCTAATGTTCGCAGATATCGACTGAAAAATGTATCAGTATAGAATATGTCAGTTTGAATATAGAAATCGAAGTTAATCTAGTTTAAATTTAAAATGTATTGTTTTATTATTAAACACAACATCTTCATCAGGTATACATGTACATTTTGTACTTGTTCACAGGAAAGGATATCAACGTCATACCATTTCAAGGACAACTTGCAATAGTAATGTGTTATAGTCAGCAGTATAACTTACAGTCTCTTTTCTTAAATGAAATGACTCAAAATATTAATGAACTCCTACAGTGAGACCTCAAATTTCAATACATTTCTAATATACATGTATAGAAACTTAATCAAAGAAATGTTTAAATATCAGATTGTGTTTACTTCATATCATCTCCCGGTATAAAATATTGGATTTCGTAGATATAAAATATATCGGTACAAGTTGCACAGTTATCATTAATTCATTGAGGACAAACCTGTTTTCAATTAAGAATATTAAAAAAATGTCCTTTAAAAATTGTAATTTTTGATTATCATAATTATTCCTTTAGTTAATTTGAGAAATAATATATTGTTTTGTCAATAGTATGCTATTAACCATAATTCTCTCAAAATAAACCAATATCAATCTATATATTTGAAATGGGATCATTTTAACATACTCTTTAGCAGATTCTCCCATAACTTCTCTAAGACGGTCAGCTTCTTGTTGAGATTTTCTCATCAGAGATTGTTTTGCCTCGTATGTACTCGAGTTCATGTAATTGACAATATTCTGGTACTGGGTGTCAGCGTATTTCGCCAACGCAAGGTACGCGTCCACTGACCGATCCCCGGTTTCATCTAGCTGCTCGTACATGTTTATAGCCTGTAACATTACACATGTACATATATATTATATGTATTTTATATTCTAACTTTATTTTGACAAAGGAAGAATATACTTTAGACACATGGTATTAAGCAACTATCTAGCAAGATTTAAATAATCTGAAGTATAATTTCACTTGAATTTATCACAAATTCTCGAAATAATTCATTTGAAATAGCCATGAACAGTAAAGGTAAAAGTCCAAATTTACAGCATCAACAGAATTAACACACAAAAGTATATGTCTGGAACTGCAAAGATTCTGGCCATACGAGGGATGATCAAAAAATAAGGCCGGATTGTGACTGTCAATTGAAGAATTTTCAACCCATCACTTATTGTTATATATCACACTTAATCGGAAAACAATACCTGTAAATTGATGCTTTATCTAATCTGATAACGCAAAAAGCTTGTCCGTAACAGCGAATTTAATAACCATGGTAACGCACACCCGGCGCAGTGCATAAATTCGCCTTGACATCAGGCACTTTAAGCTGCGTATATTTTACAATATGGCACATTTAGATTTCAAAATACGCCAAAATGTCATGAACCTTATCTTTGACGTTGTCAGTAAAAATGACTTCATTTAAACCATATTTATATTTGCAGTCACAATTCAAACGTCACATGTTAATGAAATACTCTCGTTAAAACTATGTCGTCGGAATGTCTCGAAAATCGATCAATAAGAAAAAATTGTTAAAAGTAAGATGAGAAACTGTTTAAAACGTAGAAAAAGAGTATGGCTATCAAGGGAAAAGTTCCAGAAAGCCACAGCATATTTTTTGATTAGCATGAAGAATAAAGAAAGGGTAATAGAGAAATAGAAAACAAGTAAGGGAGAGACAGAAAAAATAAATTTTTAAGGATGTTGGTGACGTCAATCGCCAAGACGTTGAAAAATGACAGTTGATTGACTGTCAACGATGTTCGACAGTAGCTACGGGACGGTGCAGTCAACTCTAAGGATTTTAAAATGATAATAGTTAATGCATTAATTACATATATTGTATTCTTGGTTTACAATTGTATCAATTATTTTCTTATTTTACGCGGTAGTTTTATGGAGAAATTGTGTCAACAATTAGACAGTCACTGTTCAAAATCGGCTATGCATTTTATTTATTTTAAAATAATGACAATTTTGTTAATAGTTGTATTATTCTTTTATATTTTCTTATGTATGATACATTATCATTCAGCAACATTATTTTACATTATTTGTAATACGTAATATAGTTTATTGTATGTGCAATTTTTCAAAACTTCAAGTAACAGAAGGAAAGAACGGAAGCTTGCGTCGTTACAGGAGCTCTTTATCATCATCCATTCTTTTACAATACAATATGATACCCACTTGTACTGAAATATATATAGACAGTGGATCCGCCGCATCAACAGTATTACTGTACCACGTATTGGCCTACTGCATGAATGAGTAAAAAGCTGCTCCTTTAAGGAAACTACGCTTGTGACATCGTTAATGTCCATTTTAAAGTTATACCAGGCGCCCCATTGCTTTACATGTACATGCCAATAACGGCATAACTTTTTTCTTTGTTAATATTTCTTGTTGGTATTTTTTGTATTATTCAGGGGATAGATTCCGATTTATTTTCCGTGTATTTTTATGTAAATTCATTTAACAGGTAAAGAATCATTTACAAAGTCCAGTTAATTTTTGATCATCCCTTGTATATCTCTCCATTCTTCCAAAAGGCAAAAAAATGTTTTTCAAGTTATACAATATCCTATCTAAATGATATAGCCTGTCTTTACAAATGTATAAGTAGTGTACAAGGTTTAATTATTCAGTCTAAAAAATTCAACACTTATCAACTGAGTCTTATTAAAGCTTTACTGTAAAGACAAGACTTTACCTTTTCCATGTAGTTTTCCATAATAATGTTGGGGTTTTCTGACCTTGTCTCTGCTAACCAGTTACCATAGATACTGAGGGTTTGTGGGTAATACATGGCTGCTGATTTGTCCGTAGATCTTAACTGGAAACATGTTTTATACAAATCTAAAAACTTGATATAAATCTGTTAATTGATGAAACATTAGGAGCACACATTTAATACTTTTGCCTGTAGATGTCACTGGACACAGACTACAAACTTACAGAATGGCCTGGCCTGCACTCTTTGACATCAGAACCCTTAAGTTACTTCATAGGTAGAGTTTTGGGACTGCGAATCAAGCAACCTAGGTTTGACAGTGTAGGTCATTTTCATTGTGATTGATCATGAAATCTTTTCTACTGTCATTCACACTGTACCTCTGTTCTGGTATGAACAGAAGTTATCATTTCCTTGTAAAAATGAACGCAACTAGTACTTGTAAACTGCTTTACAGCATGCCCAGGAACGATGCAGTGGCTGAACTTTGCTCTGGTAAATTCAATGTCACTTACTGCCATGTTTCCGTGGCTAAACCTTGGTCCAAACTTGAATTTCTATTTCTCTTGATATCCGTTTTATAATTTCACAGTTTTGCTTCTAATAATAATAATTTAACAGATTTGCTCCTCTAATAATAAGACTTATAACTGCTGTTTCTTTGTGATCAAAGTAAAAGTTAAAACTTTTACCAAATATAAGTGAATTTATCACTATCATTTTAGAATTTTTTTGAGAAGTTTTTGAAAATAACATATCCAAGGCAACATAACATTATAAAACACTACCTTCCTAAGTTTATCAATCATGCCTCTAAGTAAAGGTTTAGCTATATTCTCCTCTCCTCTTGCCCAGAACAACTTTGCCTCTTCAATCTGAGATGGTATGCTAAGAGAAAGATCTGATATGTCCAGCTCCTTTACTGTTGCTATAGCTCTCTCAGATACCTACAAATTATATAATATAACTTACAGTAATGTAAAATCTGCTTGGGAGACTTATGCATTAATGCTAAATTGAAATTATCACAAAATAATGTAAGTTATCATCTGTTACAAAGATATGTGTGAAACCATAGTGGTTAAAGTTATATTTTAAAATATTTGTAATTTAACTACAGGACAAGTGGTAGACAATCACTGCCCTATACATAGTACCATGTATTTATCCAGAAGACAAGTATACCCATCTTTGGTTGTAATAGATTTATATTTGTCTGATTAATTGGTTAAAAAAGGATGAGTATGGGGGTGGGTGCATCTTTATCATAATTGTAGTTTGAAGATGAAGAAAATGTGTATCTATATTTCATTCATTTTCTTTTATAAATGTGTAGATTTTACAAATTTTATATACATGTCAAGTAAAAATTTAACATAAATCTTCTACAATAAATTCTTGTAGTTCTTAGAAATATTCAAAGCAAAAACAAAATAAGTATCAATTACAGCTCTAGCGACAAATGGCTTAATATGTTATGATCGTTATTATACCTGATGCCTGTTAGCCTCCCTTGCACTAGTTGCAAGCTGGTGTAGACTTTCTACATAGATACGGAACACATGTTTATTATCTGTCTTTTCCCACAGTAACTTCACTGCTGAACATTTCATATACAATGTAGGCAAGGTAAATTTGATATCACTGTCACTGTCCAGTATCTGGTTCACATCACTAAGATCCATTCTCCCTACCTCTCTAAAACTGTTTCAAACACAATGTGTGAATAATAAAAGCAAAAATATCTTAATGAATTTTTACTAGAAAAAAAATGGAAAATCATAGAAAAGTTAACAGTAACTTTTCTACATGATATGGTAATGATATTGAAACTCATAATGAGAAAGACCAATTAACCTGTAACCTCCTATATTTCTATAATGGATCTGTGCAGCTTTGAATTTGAAACAGTCCATTCAATGATCAAGGGATTTTAATATCAAAATACAAAAAGTGAGCTGCCAACAGTATAGAGCCTGGTCAGACTGCACAGATAAGCAGCCTGACCTGGCTCTATACTTGTGGCACAAGTTGACCACTTTTGGTTCTAGAAGGTTAAGGGTTAAGATGGTTATTATACATGTACAGTCTACTCCACTTACAACGTGATCGGTTTTAACGAGGTTCCGCTTACAACGTACTTTCTACTGTGTCCCGGCCTTTTTCCTTCTATTTTCCTTTCATTTTTTATCGTTTATAACGAGATCGGTTTTAGCGAGATATCGGTTACAACGTACATAATTTCGCCGTCCCATGCGTATTTTTCAGAATTTTAACGAGGTCACTTCATCACTTCATTTGCACTTCGTCTGCCGCAGTTTCCCACCTTGAGAAAAACAATGATGACCAATAATAAAGGTCAATTAAGGAAGAAATTATTGACGCGGGACGAGAAAATGGGTCTAACAATTAGCGATCAATGTGTCAGCCTTGTTTTGTCAGCGCTCCGGTCCGGGCTAAATTGTCCTTAAGGTGACGAAATGTCATAACCGAGTGATTAGCACAAAGGAAGCGGCTAATTTCTTGCGGTGTTATTCGGTGTTCGTGAGAAATGCACTGCGTGACTTTCGAAAACGAATTTTAAAATGTACATATTAATGAAAAAACACACGCGGTTAGACTTAGGTTGTGTTTATATTTTTTCTTTAAATTCTATGATAGCTAGATATATTCATATACATGTATATTTAATTATATTTAAATAAAACAAAAACATTTGATTGCATAGAATTACCTCCCATTATGTACTCTTCAAAAAGGATGCACGCGAAAGCGAAAGTAGAAATAAATGATGCTCGACGGTGTCGGATTTCTCAATTTGTTCTGTCCCGGTTATAACGAGACCCGGTTATAACGAGGAATCATCCGAAGTCCCGACGATCTCGTTATATCCGGAGTGCACTGTACTTGTATTTCAGGGTACATGAAATACTTTTTTTTATCATGATATAATTCAAGCCTTTATTTAAGAATGGATCATTGGAAAGATCTGCATTAACTGGTGAAAGAAAACTATGAGTGCCAGTGGATTATTTCTGCCATTAAACATGTACATATGTAGCACCGCCAAGCCTTGCTTAAGCTAGTTGGACTTTCCTCACATAAAAGAATCCATAATTCTTTTTCTTGTCCAACCAACATTGGAAAGGAACAAAAAATTTAAGGTTAAATCCTCCATAAGAAGTGCCCCTAGTTACGCTGTTTCATAACAACATTCCAGTACTTTCTAGTTGAATTATACCCCCCAAGATATCCTAGCATGCAATAAATCAGGTAATAGTATAGATGTTGGTGGACCCATAGTCCATCAGTTGACTAGCTGGTAAACTTTCTCACATGAAATAATTTTGCTTTTATTTCTTCTTATTTTTTGGGTTTTAAGTTGCACCAACAAAGAAAAACATCATGTAGCAACTTTCCAGCTTTACTGGTGGAGGAAGACTCAGGTGCCCCTTAAGGCATTATTTAAGCAGGAAAGAGCAGGCACCCGAGTAGAACTACTGATGTTATGTAAGCTTCTTGGATAGCTTCCTCACATGAATGAACCCAAAGGCCCTGTTGGAATTTGAACCCACAGCAGTGAGGGGCAAGTGATTTGAAGCCAGAGACCTTAACCATTAGGCCAGAGATACCCCCATAAAAGAATCAAATATCCATGTTGGTAAAGAAACTACTGTAACCCAACGAATATTCGCGACCAATTAATATTCGCTTTATTCGCAGATGGCCACGAAGCGCGAATATTTGTTTGCGCGAATAAGTCCGCACGATTTCGCGAATAAATTGGGTGAGAAATTTTTATTTTAGACGTTGTTCATGCAAAGCTACTTGACCGGATATATTCGAATTTTACGGGCACCTGTTAGGAAGTAATGAATTGTTATGAATATTGCCCATAAAGCAATAAAAACACAAAACTAAGTAAACTACTACTATTTTATAAATATCAAAAAGAATCTATGTCAATTATAGCAAATCACTATTTCATTTACATTTAAAGTCATAATGAATTGATACAGTGTTCGAATATTTATAAAGAACGTATAATTCACTCATTTTGGACATAAGTCAATCAACACCCGAAATAGATTTAACTTTAAAAAACAGCTAAACATGTTACAAAATAATCATCATTATGGAACACGCGCTTCTGAAGCAATTATCGTCTAGTTTGTGTTTTTCACACGTCTGAAGGGAACGGGACGAAAGAAAAACTATTAGTCGAGAAAAACAAAGTTATAATTAGTGTGATACCCACTCTGTTTTTAACGACATGTTTGGAATGAAGACGAACGAATGCGTACATGTACACATATAAATTAAAAAATATAGAGAAAATGTTTTGCTGAATTGTGATCACAATTCACTTACCAATACAATATATAAGGCTAGCGTATTGTTAATCCCATTTTAGACACTAATAATGACCTCAATTATTTAAGATTAATAGTCGGCTAGTGGATTTTATGGCCCCATCGGACTTTCCAATCTGCGAATTTTTTTTTTTCGGAAATCGAGAAAACGCGGAAATTAATATTCGCGAATATGTCCGACCTCGGCAAAACGCGAACATTTGTATTCGCGAATATAAATTGGGTTACAGTATCACAGCTATCTTCAATGATACATCAATGATATCAAATATATAATGTATGTGTGTCAAAATGTGATGAATGCTCCTTTTGTAGTGTTTAAATAAAGTTTTTTTTTAGTTCTTAAAAAAGGATAACATAACTAGAACTATCACTAAATGAGATTAATACCCCCACAAGACTGCTTCGGAAATGAGGATGTTACTAGTAACAGAATACCTTGTAAAAGAATTGAAATATAGAGTTATGGTTGTGGGCAATTAAAGATAGTTGTGGTTCTTGTATGTTGCATTTCCTTTCAATGTGGTTGGCCATTGTATGAAGTTTTATTGAATTACTCTGTAATAAGTCCAGAAAGACAAAGAAAAGGAACAAAGGGCAATAACTCTATAAATTCTGAAGATGGAGTTATAGTTCTTGTGCACTGCACTTCCTCTTATTGTGCTTGACCATTGTATGAAGTTGTTTTGAATTTCAACCAGTATGTTTTAAGTTATGCTCCGGACAAGGAAAAGTATCAAAGGGCAGTGACTCTGCATTTTGTCAAAATGTAGTTATGGCTCTTGTGCACTGCACTTCCTTTTAAAGGCCTTGACAACTGTATGAAGTTGTATTGAATTCCAAACAGTAGTTTTCAAGTTATGCTCTGGACAAGGAAAAGTAACAAAGGGCAATGACTCTGTAATTAGTCAAGACAGAGTTATGGTTCTTGTGCACTGCACTTCCCCTTATTGTGCTTGACCATTGTATGAAGTTGTTTTGAATTCCAACCTGTAGTTTTCAAGTCATGCTCTGGACAAGGAAAAGTAACAAAGGGCAGTAACTCTGTAATTAGTCAAGATGGAGTTATGGTTCTTGTGCACTGCACTTCCTCTCAAAGTGCTTGACCATTGTATGTAGTTATATTGAATTCCAACCTAAGTCTTCAAATTATGGTCCGGACAAAAGAAAGCAATGGAAAAAGTAACAAAAGGGGGCAAATAAACTCTGTAATTACTTTAATAGGAGTTATGGTTTCTTTATTGCACTGCACTTACCCTTGTTTGTGTTTGACAATTGTATGGAAGTGTTTTTGAATTCCAACCAGAGTTTTCCAAGGTTATTTGCCCCGGACAAGGAAAAGTAACAAAAGGGCATAACTATTTTAATAAGTCAAAGATAGGAAGTTTTGGTTTCTGTGCACTTGCACTTCCTCTCATGTGCTGACCATTGTATGTAGTAATATTTTGAATTCAAACCATTAGTCTTTCAAGTTATGTTCCGGACAAAAGAAGCAATGGAAAAAGTAACCAAAGGGCAATAACTCTGTAATTAGTCAAGACAGAGTTATGTTTCTTGTCACTTGCACTTTCCCCTTATTGTGTTGACAATTGTATGAAGTTGTTTTGAATTCCAACCAGTAGTTTTCAAGTTATGCCCCGGACAAGGAAAAGTAACAAAGGGCAATAACTCTGTAATTAGTCAAGATAGAGTTATGGTTCTTGTGCACTGCACTTCCTCTCAATGTGCTTGACCATTGTATGTAGTTATATTGAATTCCAACTATTAGTCTTCAAGTTATGCTCCGGACAAGGAAAATGCAACGGACGTCTGGACCGACCAACCAACTGACCACCGGGTGACTCCTATATACCCCCCCAAACTTCATTTTTGGAGGTATAATTAATCTTTTTTTTTCATGTACATGCGAGCCTGTAACATATTATGCATATTTTATAGTTCTTTAATTATCTGCATTTCATTGAATGTACAAACAAAAAAGATTCAAAGATATCTTTCTATTCTATTTTCACCTTTTAAGTAGATCACTTGTTTGGTTGACAATGTTAACACACATTAGGTCTGCTAAAACAGGGTATAATTTCCTAGCACTCGTCAAACAGCCATCCTTCAACCTTGAAACTGCACATAACCTGATAAATTAATATGTTCATGGTATAAATAAGATTAATATATACTATAAGTGCTTATTGACCAACAACATCTGTACATAACAAACACAGAAATTTAAAAAGGTTGCAAAATTTATTCAAAACAGTTAAATTATTGGTTTTTTGTTTGTTTGTTTAATTGGGTTTTATATCACACTGACACATTATAGGCAATATATGGCCACGTTCCAGCTTTACTGGTGGAAGAAGACCTCAGGTGCCCTTCCGTGCATTATTTCAGGCACCTGAGTAGAACCACCAGCATTCTGTAAGCTAGCTGGATAGCTTCCTCACATGAAAGAATCCAAAGTCCATGTCGGGATACGAACGATCTTAACCTCTCCTCCACAGACGCCCCTAAAATTGTAGATATACAGTCAAGACTGCCTAAGCGACCCCCTGATTTAAACGACTCCCTGTCTTATCTGACCTTGTTTCAGTACTCCCAACGTGTTTTCCTATATAAATGGTCTGAATTAAACGACTCCCTGTCATATGTGACAAGCGACCCTAATTGTCTGGTCCCAATGCAATGTTTGGTCTGATTTAAACGACTTTCACACCTTTTATTTGTCCGTTAATCAGGATAAGTAATACCTATTATAAACACACCAGAGGGCCAAAATAATCAAGTCCAATTATAATCCAGTAGCAAACAAAGTCTACACACCTCTATCTCAATTACACAGTTAACATGTATACAGTACAGGTATCGAGTGACGTAGCGAAGCATTATGCAATCGATGTGGTGTGTAATGTACATTATGGCCTGAGTTAAAACTGGGGCTAAGATTTGTGTTAGATTTTTTTTTTAATTATAGAGAGGCCAGCGGAAGATTTTAGGCAGCATTTTTTAAATTTACCTTTCTATGGGCTGCATAATTAATACGGAAAAAAATAATTGATACTAAAACAGAAAAAGCTTTGGATATGGATATGTTTTAAAGATCCTGTAACACACATTTTTTCATGTTTTATTTCAAAAATATGATGCTAAACATTAAGATTTGTCAAATATCGTAGTTCAAATTACAGTACGCTCAGCGCGGCTTTTTCAAAAACCCGCGTGACCCCGCGGATGGAGGTTTACCGCGGACGAAAATTGATCAGAGTATTGGTCGCCGTGACCCCGCGGACAGAAAAATTTTCCACCCACCGCGAAACGGAGCGGTAAATTGCGGAGGAACGCGGCGGTCAAAACACCGGTCAACGCGGTTGGAAACCTTAAATTCAAATTTATTCCCCCCCAACTGTATTTAAACAATCAAGGGTATTACTGTACGTACTAACATGTTACTTACATATACTATATGTAAAATTGTTTGTTTGTTTTTTTGTTGTAATAAAAAGTACATTTGCAAATGCAGTGTAATTTTCTTGGTTCTTCTTCTTTGTTATTTGTGTTGGTTAATGTATAATATGAATTCGGGACATCAAGATAAAATCATTGTCGGTCGCAACTTCATGGTAGTGAGAAAACTTGAAGTCAATTAATGAAAATTCGGCATATGGACATTTATGAAAAAGAACTTCAACAATTTATATGCCAGCTTTGTTTCTTATTTTAAAAACTTGAAAACGTAACCCTCAACCAATTTATTCAGGCATAATTCCAGGAACGTCTCTTTTCAATTGTCAGATGCGTTTAACTGTTTCTGTTTTTTGCATGTAATCCATAAAGTCTTATATTTTATTTGGAACATTAAAAGAAAGGTTATTTCACAAATATACATTTAAAAGATATTCTTGTTTATCTAATTTACAGGTTGAGCGTTAATGTTATATGTTTTGAAGTTTGTATAAAAACTGTTGAAGTTTGCTTTCTTGTATTTATATATTAAGTTTTTCATTTGAAATTAATTTTCCGAGGATAATAAATGTAATTTATTAATTTGTAAAAGGCAGCCAAATTATTATTTTAATGGTTGAATTGTGTCAAACATTTATACAGTATACAAAAACTTTTTGGCCAAGTAGGTTCATTGCCAAATATTTTTCTTTCATGTCCATTTTCGACGGGGGTTTTACTGTAAAAAAAACACAAACAAACAAGTCTACCCCGTTTTTAAAGAATATAATTGCATACAAATAAAATCTTAATAGATGGTTTAAATATCTTTTTCTTTTATTCTATGACATGTAATGTATTTATTTATTCTTGTTCTTGTATTCACACTCATCGAACCTCTTACAGGACATGTACTGTAGCGTCAGTCATCATTTGAGAAAATCAGCACAAATGTCCTTTTTTTTTTTTACTAAGTAATCATATTTATGGCTCCAATATAGGTTAAACAGCCAATAATACTTGAGAACCACAAGGGAATGAAAAAGTAAAAGATGACAGTAATAAATGACGATTTTCAAGTTGTAAAAATATTTGGTATGTTGACGAATAGTTTTGTGGACGTTTTATAACAAAAATATTAAAAACAACAACAACAAAACAGGTACAGCTGTAATTATTTTTATTTCAAATTCCGTTCAAATAATTTAACGTATAATTTAACATTTAAGGAGACGATTGTGGTCAATTTTCAAGTCATTGTGTAAAAAAGATGACGTTAAAAAATTAATAAAACGTCTATTATTTTTTGGAGGTTAATTTATACTGACCAACTGACCATGGCGTTCCCCCGCGGGAAAACGGGTGACTGATTTTATCGACTAATGAAGACGGTCGTCAGAATTTTGTCTGCGGTGGAAACAACTGAACCACCGGGGATCGCGGGGAAATTAGGCTTTCATCGCGGACGAACCCCGCGTTTGTCCGCGATAAAAAAAAAAAAAAAAATCGTCCGCGGTGGTATCGCGGAAAAAGCAAAACCCGCGGTTGAGCGTACTGTAAGCATTATTTATAAAGATATCACCCAATTTAACATTTCATGTAAATAAGGGCCATTAAAGGGAGGTAATTAGAAACTTTATTTTCTATAAATTCTATGTCAAATTTTCCAATAAGTAATCAATGCATGTAATTTATTGATTAATTATAATGTGCACAAATATTGCAGTACACATTTACAATATTCTTTGATGTTTGAAAATTGTTTATTTGCATAATTATATCCATATATAATTTTTTGCAAGTGTGGTCAAAACACCAGTAACAATATCAATCACGAAACATAATGATACAGGATCTTTAAGTCACAATGGTATATAGACAGATAGATGATATTTGAATTTAATTTTCTTTGAGACTGTATTTAGAGACTCCCTGTCATATGTGACCTTTTTCTGAAGGTCCCTTGGAAAGTCACATATGACAGTCTCGACTGTACAATGTTTAGAAAGGCATTGTAATAAAGTAACTATTGTTTTTTGAGTCAAAAACACATCTGCATTACAAGTCATTGAATCATTCGTCAATTGTTTACCTTGCGTGGTTTAGAGATTTGTCTGTAAAAGTGCTATGGTCCTCTCTGATTGACTTCATGGCCTTGAAAACACTCTCATGAAATCCTGTCCCCGTCTCAATCCTGGTTAAATATTATACAATGCAATTGAGCAAATTAAAGTCCTTATTAAATGTTATACTCATATTGCTAAGCTTAGAATTTCAAATGTGGCAGTGACTATACAGCTCTTTACGAAACATTGCTAAATTGTTTTACTCGCAAAGTTAATTGGCAAACGAAACCTGAAGGAACAACCCGATGCTTCATATTTTATGTTCTTAAGAATACACTTTATATCAAAACGATGCTACATAAGCAAAATATCAACAACACCACTAAAACCAGAATGAGCATAATTCCTTGCATTCACAACTTATCTATATGTATTTACAACTTACCTATATGTATAGTTATCTATTGTATGGAGAGAGTATACCAGACAAAATAAATGGTATGTTTACAATAAATCAAATTGTATGCAAACGGATGTGATAATTGGGTTCAGTCTGGAAATTTGTAGAACAAACCTTAAAAACTTAATATGAAGATGCAAAGTTTATCCTGAAAAACATTTTAAAACTACAAATATTAATTCAGTCAATACAGAGGGATTTCAGCTCTAGAAATACATGTACTTACTTGTTTGGTGAATCAAGGTTCCACATCCCCATTCTCCAAGCAGCTTCAAACTGGAGCTCTCTAGTTTCTGAAGTTAAATTTGGCACATCATCCTGTCCCATAATTCCTTGCAGGTAAGTGTTGAAGATGTGATTAGCTCCGAAGCATTGCAAAACCTTAAGTTTTAATGAAAGCAAACATCTTAAGAGGGTTCAAATCAAATTGAGATGTATTCTATGTTACTTGTTGAAAAATTTAATGATTGAATTAAAGTAAGTGTTTCATGTTTTTTTTAATGCTGGAATAAAATGTCATAACACTTTTTAGTATTTGAAATTATTTTTTGTCCTGTAGGATAGTAGTATTTCAAATACACTGTGTGTTTATCATAAAAAATTTACTTTGATAAAGGGGTTTTAGTGACTTAGTAAACCAAGTGTTTAATAAAATAATAGTTTCAACCACTAAACTGGTTATTGCTCATTAGTAAGCATTTTACAAAATGAAATTGGTTGAGCAACTTAATCTACAATTTCAAGTTCTTAGTAATGAAGAAATCACTTAATAGCGTCATTCTACTCTATAGGTTAAAAAACATTTTGATAACATGATTCAAATGATAAATTTAAAATATTTGGTAACTTAGACATTTCTATGACCATATATTATACAAAAGTTAAACCTTATAAAAAATACTGACTTACATTAAGTAGATCATACTGATTGGTAGTTCCTGATTGGCTCATTTGAATGTCACATGACACAACTGCTTTATCCCATTGGTTTTCTTGTTGATAGGTGCAGATTCTATAAAAAATATAATATTATGTAAGACTGACATGTTGCTAATTGGTATCATTTTAGAAACATATTTAGCATATCTGGTTAATAAAAAGGGAACAATTTAATATAACTCAGTCACAACAACATTGTAAAGTTCACATTTTAATATTGGAAGAAGACCTCAGCTTCTCGTCTTTGTATTATTTCATGTCTAAAAGGGCTTATGAGTAGAACCATCAGATGGAGAACAAAAAACTTGACCATGATTTTAATATTCTTGAAACAAATTCAAGCCATAAACCTCAATGCATAGTGCCATGTTAGTAGACCAAAACTAAAGAATAATAAAAAGAACTACAAACCGTGAGGAACTATCAGCCTTCCTGCCTGCACCACAACCATAAACCCCATCAGGGTCCCCAATCCAGCTGTAAGCCTCCAATAGAAGATCTTGAACAGATACACCTGACCTTGAACTTGAGGCCTCACTTAGGGTATCTATTCTTGTATCCTGGCTTGACCCCTGTGATGACCTCTGACTGCCTCTGTCTGATTCTGATCTTTCTCTATATAGATACAATGTACAAAAGATGTTTACGTCCAAGATAGCGGAATTTCTCTCTTTCTTTATTTGTTTCATCTACTTTCAGCTGTATATATATTACCAAGTTTTAGCATACATTAATTTCTTTCAACAGTACATAAATTTTCTAGTTTTAGCATACATTACTTACTTTCACCTAGTTTTAAACCACTGCTTTCAGTCATACTAGACACAAATAATATTAAGCAAGTTTTAGCATACATTTACTTTTTTCAATAGTACATACATTTTCTAGTTTTAGCATATGTAACTTACTTTCAATAGAAAGGTACATTACCTAGTTTTAGAGCACTGCTTTCACTCATGCTAGACTTCAACCAAACAGTATCAAACTTACTTTCTACTAAGCAGTCTAAGTGTAATCCTATTAAGGCCAAGTATGGTAAGGGCCAATAATTTTACATAAAGTCTCAACTTCCATTTAGCAGGTTAATAACAATGAGTACACCCTTGACCTGCTTAGTTTATGTAATATATTTGCAAAGCTTTGGATTTGGAAAAGTTCATTTATCATATATGAGTTTTTGATATCAAAATAAAAAATTGAGCTACCAACAGTAACAAGCAGGGACAAACAGCAACAATGTGCAAACTGGCCTTGTTCTATACTTATAATATTGGCTAATCACTTTTTGATTGTTAAGAACATAACATGGTCCTACACTTATACTTATTATTATATTATATTTACCTTTGAACATCACACCAGATCTCTGCAAACATTAATGCTGTAAAGTGAGCAGAACAATATTGTGCTGCCATGGCAACTTGTAGATAATCAACATCCAGCCAGAAATTGTTGTCCCACACTGTCATTTCTTGTCTCCTAAAATAATCCACATGCTTGAAAGATATGAATTAAGTAACTGTGGATTAGAAAAACAGACTATTTTCAGGCTGACACAATATGTCAGGCTGACCACAGTAAAGGTCCTATGATGACTTTTCAAGCTTAACTAGGCGGAAAAAAACTTCAGGTGCACCCAACTGTACATTATTTCAGGCATAACCAAACAACCATGTAAAACCACCAAAACTTTCCATTTTAAAATAAAGTGGATAGCTTCCACATATAAACGACCTTGAACCCGAAGCTTGTAAAAACTTGTTTTAACATGCATTTCGAGCTTTTTTGCTTTTAAAGACAGTCTTTTAAATTCAACATTTTCAGAATCATTTACTGCATCTAAAAACACTGGTAAGGTACCTAACATAAATAGCCTACCCTTTCTGTGGTCTTTGTTGTTGACGTAGATACTGTATCACATCTTAACATAGTTCTCACAGACTCTGTGTTCATTACATATACTCTGTTCAACCCTCTAAAGTAAAGGACAAAAATAACAATAGACTTGAAGATATTTTCAGAGCAATGATGGAAAATAATGTTGAAATGTTGGTGTCCATATAAAAAGACTTTATCAAAACGATTGAAAAAAGAATGGTTAAAAGGCAAGGCCATTGCTTTAAGGGAAACTTTTCACCATATATACCTTTATCAAAGCATTACAATAACAGACATTTTGCTTTCATATAAAAAGCCTTAATTGTCATTCTACTTAACATTACTGAACATCTTTTCCACACTAAATTACATTTATTAAATCATTTTCTTTTTATTTTAATCATCAGTGAAACATTTTTACCTGGGTATATATAAGCATGAGTCACAGACTGGCATCTGCTAACTTGTCCAGACCTTGACTGACCACAGTGACTTGAGAAAAAGCTGACTACTTGTCTGGAGATGACCTCATGATGGTCATCTGAACCATTGACTAGAATATCATGTATAATATACGGCAGCACTAGCTCACAAAACTCAACCTTGAAAAAGAGAAATACATGTAGTTATCAATTTGGCATCAAAACTTGACATTTATACACTGACATCATACTGTAAAATCTGAAATTTTCTCAAAAAGATTTGATTTCTCCAATGAAATTTTTTCCCAAAGTAATTGTTCTCTAAAAATCTAAGTATTGTCAGGTGCTCTAAATTTGTCTCTGTCCCAGAGTCAACAATGCTAAGGTGTATGTCAGAAAGTCTCAACAAATGTCTGTTAAGAAAAAATAGAAAACAGTTGGATATTTTTAAACATCAAAGTAAATTTAATGTATCTGCCAAATTTCTTCAACATAGAATGCTTGGGTCATTAAAAAATATAGTGTATGAACCTAGACTCTGATTAGTGTAACAAATCATAACTACCCATGGATATCATAAACTTAAGGAAACTGAAAGCAGAAATTTGCAATAATTTAACCTCGCTAATGAGCCTGAAAAGTTGATTTTGAAAAATACTTAAAATCAAATATTTTTTTCTTGTACTTGAAAGAATATAGTAGTAGCAGTATTTTTGTAGTGTATGGAATCAAGGGTTCAAGTTATACTTAAGTCTCCCTCATATTCCATAACATAACCTCAGCAGTAGATGATAAAAAGGTAACTTAGTTTTAAAGTGACAACAATAAACAGTTTTAAAACTAAAAGCCCCTGAGTTATTGTAGTTTATTTCACCTTTATAGAACACACTGGTTCTAACAGCTGTAAAAGTTCATCTCTGACAGCTCCACTGTTTATCAATGTAGTTGTTAAGGTAACCAACCAGTTACCATGGTTACTATGTGCAGGATTCCATAGCAACTGTTGATCTACTGTGGTCTGGAACATATCCCAGTCAGGCTTTGTTACCTTACTGGTTGGAATCTGGAAAAAAAAAAAAAAAAAAAAAAAGATTATTTTCTTTACTACAGTTCTTCATCTTATTTGCAGCAAGGCTTAATATTTTCTTTCCTTTTTATTTGATTTGAAGTACTTAAAGAAAACAATGCAAAATGTAATCAATATAACCTTGAATTTGTTTAATGGATTTGTCAATTACTAGTGTGAAGAATTTCAACATCTAAAGTTAAGGAGGGAAATGTACAAAGTCTGGTCGGATATAAGTATGCTGCAGTAATTATACAGGTGACATAGCAAATCATTGGTAGCTGGCATTTAAATGATGGGGTAAAACATTGCTCAAACAAATGAAATTTAACCCTTAACCTGCTTAATTTATATTGTGGATTCCCCCTGCTTTGAATTTGGAACAGTCCATTTGAGATATTTTCAAAGTTTCAGGTATTTTCAAAGTTTCAAGTTTTCAATATCAAAACATGAGCTACTAACAGTCTTTAGCCTAGTCAGTCTGGATGGATGTGCAGGCTAACCTGGGTCTATACTGGCAGCAAATGTTGTTATTCATTATAGGTCCAAGAGTTAAAATAAAGCAGAAAGAATCTTTGTATCCCTATAGTGATTGAAGATGACCTAGTATAAAGCAGTGTTGTTACCTTCTTCTTGCCAGCTCTGAAAGGATGTAGATAATGAAACAGGTACTCATTTTCACCTAGCTGGGACTTGTACCCATTGGTAAACTCTATACCTTTCTTTACTGCCAGTAACGCTTTCAGTACAGTGCTAGCAGACTGTACAAGTTCAATACTGAAAGAAAAGACAATAAGGATTATATTCAATTACTGTTCTAAACTTTTTAACCTAACTTGGTATGAATCTGTTGCATGAACTAGGTTGTAACTTATATTCTCCTGTTTGAAATGGAAACAGCAATTTTACCATAACATAATTCATTCCTACTTAATTATTACATTTATATCTGCTTTTAATCATTAAAATGTTCACAAGTACATGTTTATACATGTGACAATTATCTGTAATAATATTACATTATACAATTATTTTAAAATGAAAAGAGGAAACAATCACTGTATGATTTTTAACTTCAAAGATGAAAATACCATAAGCAATAAACAATTCTCTTAAAGTAGTGTGTGTTGTTCAAACAATCTTTAAAATGTATCGCCATGTACTATACTGTACAATACTATATTGTGAGGGAAATAATCATAATTCATCAATAATATTGGACCATCTCTAAGGTTTTACTGGAGTGTTAGTATTTGTATCAAAGCTTGTCATCACTCAAAATTACAGTCCATATGCTTTCTAATAACATGCATGTCTATTGTGATTACATTTCCTGGATTTATCATATATTGGGACTCAGATGGCATAAATTTTGACATAGAGTGATATCCTTTTTATAAAACAGAGCTAAGTCAGGCTAAAAAGTTATTGTTACTGTAAAAGCACCTCAATGGTTAAAACTCAAGCTTTACGAATAAAAATAGTCGAACTTTGTTAGCTCGAAAATCGAAGGGCCCAAACAAATTTATCCTAGAGAGCAGCTTAGTTCAAGCCAACCTGGGGTTGAAGTGTTACATGTATTATGTAAAAGATCGTTCTTTATGGGAGACATAAAATATATCCTTCTTCAAATAGTGCTCACTTCTATTATTTGAAAGACATCTGGTGGAATGGAAAATATGTCTTCATAATAATTGTTGATCAAGGTCATCAGTTCGTCAAATATGTAACTTAAATGACACTATGACATATATACTTTGTCAAATGAGTATGCTCATTATTCAATATCCTCTGTATCTTGATAATCATTCAGAGCTAATATAATAACAATTAAATTTAAGACTGTAGTAAGCAACTGAATCTATTTATGGATGAACCCAATGCAGACCTAAATATGCCAGTAGATCTGTACCGTCTGATCATGACTTGCACTTTTACTTCATTCAGCTATTTAAACAGTACTTATTTTGAATTTTTCCAAGAAACAAATAAAATGGTTGAATGGTTTTTGGCCAGAATGAAAGAAAGAAAACAATGTCAATTGTCTAAGTCTAAGCGTGATAAAAAACCAACTATCTTTTTAATGTGAAGGTCATACCTTTTATCTGTGAGGTATGTATTCAGACAGTGAAATATTCTGCAGTATTTGTGAACATCAGGCAACTCCTATAATAAAGATGCTTATTTTATTGTACATTATTGACAACAGGCAGTAATATAGTAACCATAATAGATGTAAAGAATATAATGTAACGAATAAGTAATGAATATAATGTAATGAATAATAATGAATAATGTAATGAATAAATAATGAATAATGCACTGAATAAATAATGAATAATGTAATGAATACAATAAATGAATAAGTAAAGTTTAAAGTAATGAATAAGTACATACAGATTGTAACATGTATTAATCTTTTTTTCTGATTTTAAAACTTTAAACTGATGGTACAATCGTTACATCTTAGACAGAAAAATCTCTGTATTGTTTTTTCAATATTCCTAACAAAAAAACCCAACAATGACCAATGGCTTCATAACTGTTCTGCAGCAAGCTGCTAGTCTGGGTTTTTGTTGAGAGTCTAGAAATACATGTTCATGTATGTCATGCACACAAAAAAAACCCAACCCCTTAACCTCCTTACCTCAAAACACTGGAGAGCAAGTTGTTAGACCTATACTGATAGGTGGTGCAGGGAGAGATATTGTCTTCATGTTGATTGGTCCAAGGACACCAAGACATTTACTGCCATTATCACAACATCTCTATTCTCACATTTGGTCAGCTCAACCAATGAACATGATAGTCTGCATAGTGTATCATCTGAAAAAATAAAATATTGAGAAACCTGAAATCTTTAAAATTCATCGACTTCCAAGACAAGGAATCTGACATATACCAACACATAGCATTTATTACTTGATGCTCTAAAAAGAGAATTTAGTTAGGACCTAACTTTCTTAAAGAAAACATTCTTTTTCCCCAAACAGACTTTAAGTTTAGTTTAATCATATATTATGGGTTTTTGTACTAATACGAAACAGATACAATTTTACATGCATAACATAAGACAAACACTGAAAGAATAAGTTTACAGTTTGTACATGTATGTTTTACTTTTCACTAAAATGAGACTTTGCTACAGTGTACAACAAATACATGAATTAATTTAGTTTCATTTTAGCATAAAACATAAATATAATGATTACCTGATGCAAGTTGCTGCAGCTCTTTTTGTTCACACTTTAGTTGCTCATGTAGAAATTTTAACCTTCAAGTCTAAAATCTTGATCTATTACAGGATTCCTACCAGCCATCAAGAAATGGTCTACTTCCTGAATTTAAGATATAAATGTTTCAACCAATAAAACACTGTTAAACTGAATCTATAAATTTCGGTATATTAAATTAAGGTACAATAAAGGTACATTAATAAATGTGTTCAACTACAAAACAGTCAAATACAGGACATAAGTACATGACGTTTTCTAACTATGGTTTTTGAAAAAATTCATGTTAGTTTTGACTTGTTATTAAATTCCTAAGGTATTTATCAGCCTACAGTAAGAATGAAACCATTTTAATAATCTAGGAACATGGTTAAACTACACAGAAAGGAGGATAATTTGTAAACATGGTTCATGTCGGGATGGTTTATCTGATTTGCTGTGTCAAGATACTTTCTCCCTCACGAGATAAACCTCCATCCAAACATCAACCATGTATTCTCTATATGACAGTACTTCACTGAATGATTGTAAATCAAAGCATTTATCATCTAAAATACAAAAATACAGATCTTTTCCTCATTTACAGAATCATGAAGTCTGTCAATAAACACACTTTTTAATTGAATATGTTGGTGTAAATGTCAATATGTCCAGTTTAACATTGGATTGGCAATAATAAGTGCACAATTAACAAGGAACATCGCAATGCGATGCAACCAGGTTTTCAGCAAAATATTTCACAGAAGCTTTGTCATGAAGGGGCATTTGTTTTTAATTGAACTTTTAGGAGGAATTATGGCTTTTTTAATATTCCTCAAACAAAAATGATTGAGAAATTTTATGTTGTCTATTCGCCTTTTTTTCCCAAATGTTTTAGAAAGGTAAACAGTACTTTATTTTTGCTTAATTTTTGCATTTTTGCGTCTCTCTTGTCATTTTCTTTTGTCAACAATATTGGCGTGTGGTGTTTTGTGCGATATCAAGAAAAAGTATGTTCACAATTTTAAAAAAAATACTTGAATGATGTCTTGGAAGAAACATGGGAATTTAGTGAGCGCCAGGGCACTTGATGACAAAAGCTTCTGTGAAAGTTTGGTCAAAATCCATTGAGAAATGTAGGAGAAGTTGCGCACTGTAGAAATTGTTCACTATATATTCTGTATAAGGAAAAAATATACAAAGGGCCATAATTCGGTCAAATATTATCCAATCACAAAACCCCGACAATATGTACCAGGCACTTGAAAACAAAGCTTCTAAGAAAGTTTGGTCAAAATCCGTTGAGAAATGTAGGAGGAGTTGAGCACAGAAGAAATTGTTCTCTATATATTCTGTATAAGGAAAAAATATACAAAGGGCCATAATTCGGTCAAATATTATCCAATCACAAAACCCCGACAATATGTTGCCAGGCACTTGATAACAAAGCTTCTAAGAAAGTTTGGTCAAAATCCGTTGAGAAATGTAGGAGGAGTTGCGCACAGAAGAAATTGTTCACTTATATATTCTATATAAGGAAAAAAAACAAAGGGCCATAATTAGGTCAAATATATACCAATTGCAAAACCCTGGCAATATGTGTCAGGGCACTTGATGACAAAGCTTCTGAGAAAGTTTGGTCAAAATCCGTTGAGAAATGTAGGAGGAGTTGCGCACAGAAAGAAATTGTTTCACTATATATTTTATATAAGGAAAAAAAACAAAGGGCCATAATTAGGTCAAATATTATCTAATCGCAAAACCCCGACAATATGCGCCAGGGCACTTGATGACAAAGCTTCTGTGAAAGTTTGGTCAAAATCCGTTGAGAAATGTAGGAGGAGTTGCGCACAGAAGAAATTGTTTACGCCCGCCCGCCCGCCCGCCCGTCCGGCTTTGTCATGAAGGGGCATTTGTTTTTAATTGAACTTTTAGGAGGAATTATGGCTTTTTTAATATTCCTCAAACACAAAAATGATTGAGAAATTTTATGTTGTCTATTCGCCTTTTTTTCCCAAATGTTTTAGAAAGGTAAACAGTACTTTATTTTTGCTTAATTTTTGCATTTTTGCGTCTCTTGTCATTTTCTTTTGTCAACAATATTGGCGTGTGGTGTTTTGTGCGATATCAAGAAAAGTATGTTCACAATTTTAAAAAAATACTTGAATGATGTCTTGGAAGAAACATGGGAATTTAGTGAGCGCCAGGGCACTTGATGACAAAGCTTCTGTGAAAGTTTGGTCAAAATCCATTGAGAAATGTAGGAGAAGTTGCGCACTGTAGAAATTGTTCACTATATATTCTGTATAAGGAAAAAATATACAAAGGGCCATAATTCGGTCAAATATTATCCAATCACAAAACCCCGACAATATGTACCAGGCACTTGAAAACAAAGCTTCTAAGAAAGTTTGGTCAAAATCCGTTGAGAAATGTAGGAGGAGTTGAGCACAGAAGAAATTGTTCTCTATATATTCTGTATAAGGAAAAAAATATACAAAGGGCCATAATTCGGTCAAATATTATCCAATCACAAAACCCCGACAATATGTGCCAGGCACTTGATAACAAAGCTTCTAAGAAAGTTTGGTCAAAATCCGTTGAGAAATGTAGGAGGAGTTGCGCACAGAAGAAATTGTTCACTATATATTCTATATAAGGAAAAAAAACAAAGGCCATAATTAGGTCAAATATATACCAATTGCAAAACCCTGGCAATATGTGTCAGGGCACTTGATGACAAAGCTTCTGAGAAAGTTTGGTCAAAATCCGTTGAGAAATGTAGGAGGAGTTGCGCACAGAAGAAATTGTTCACTATATATTTTATATAAGGAAAAAAAAACAAAGGGCCATAATTAGGTCAAATATTATCTAATCGCAAAACCCCGACAATATGCGCCAGGGCACTTGATGACAAAGCTTTCTGTGAAAGTTTGGTCAAAATCCGTTGAGAAATGTAGGAGGAGTTGCGCACAGAAGAAATTGTTTACGCCCGCCCGTCCGCCCGCCCGCCCGTCCGCCCGCCCGCCGACATACCTCAATCTAATAACCAGTTTTTTCCTTCGGAAAACCTGGTTAAAAACCAGTTTTTAGACCTTCATTTGCAACTTTTATCATTGTTTTACCTTTTTCAAACTGAAAGCTCCAGAAGCATATTTCAATTTATGATGTACAGCTCTGCATTCCTTGAATTCAGGTTTGTCCGGGAAATTATCTAACATTGCTATAGCTGTACGTAATTCTTTCACCTTCTCTAGTGTCAAAAATTTCAGCAGGCTTAGTGACTGAAAAATGCAATTGTTCCATGGTTTATATAACACAAAAAATATATACATAATATTATTTTTTATTATCAGATGTTTCTTTTCCCAATAAATTTTCATATACCTCTGAGCAGAAATATCAAAGATCATTTAGATGGAAAATTTGTTAAACACAGATTTCATTTAAGGATCAAATTTTATTTTATTTGAAGGAAGCCAACATGATGAGTAAGTTTCAAACAATATTAGAGTGAAAGGGATTTTGCACACAGTACAAAAGGCTACCGGTATACTAGAAAATAGTACATCTTTCTGTTTTGTCTGACTTAAAAATTTCTATTTCTTTTCTGCTTGTTTGTGTTAAAGTCACTCTAACTCTGAACCAGATAATCTATTATTTTTCCATCGATAAGGGTGAACTTTCCAAAATCCTCTTATTAGCAATATTTCAGGCTCTAGTGGATAGTATCAGCAGCCTTATACTAGCTGAAAAACCTTCCGCACATGAGAAAATCAATGTTCATGGCTTTATTCCAACCCAAGTTAATTTAAGTTCGCAATCTTATAAACTTGGCAAAAAAAATCCAATATCGAGAATCAGATCAAAATATCCTCAAACTAAGTAAAAATTGCACTTACCAGCTGTCCCACATCCCCACTGTGTCCAACAGTAGATACCAGGTTACTTGTAAGTAATGGTAAATATTTCATCAGCTCCTATAAAGACAATGTCCATGGTTATAAACACTGTTGTGCTTAAAATAGTAGAAAGTATTAAAACATTGTTTCCTACTTACAATAAATAAAATGCATTGAAATAAGGTGTTCCAGTGAATCAATTCAAAGTATTCATCACTATAACAGCATATCATTGTTCAGAATAAAAGGAAACAGACAGAATGCAAAAACAATGCAGGCAGACGAAGTTCAGAAGATAAAAACTTAAAGAGACTAGTTGAAATAGAGGATAGAAGAAATAGAAAATATAGGTAAAAGAGAAAGGAACACTGATGATACAGAGAAACACAGGCAACACTGATAATAAAAGAAATGGAGAACAGAAAACAAAGAAGATACAAGAAACACAGAGGACATGGAAACAATAAAGAAAGAGGACACAAGAAACAGAGGACAGTGTACATGAAACAACAACAAAAATTGAGGATACAAGAAACAAAGTGGATACAGTAAACATAGAATATACAAGAAACAAAGAGGACACAGGGAACATAGAAGATACAAGAAAGATAGAAGATATAGAAAGTATTACAGCTTTAACAAACAGAGAAGACAGAGAAAACATGATGGAAACAAGAAACAAAGAGAACAGAGGAACACAGAAGATACAAGAAACAGAGGATGAAGGAAAATCTATACAACAAAGAGGACACAGTTAATATTTAGTATACAAGAAACAAAGTGGACACATGAAACACTGTAGATAAAACCAACACATAAGACGAAGAGACAAAAACATACAAGAAACACAGAGGATACAAGCAACACAGAGGATACAAGAAACACAGAATAAACAATCAACAGACATTCTGTAAGTCTAGTGATGCTGACCTTAGGACAAATATCAACTCCTACTGTGCAAACCTCTCTGAGAAGCTCTAGTGCCATACAAGCAATACTCTCTCTATAACAACTCTCTGTCCCAGCATTTCTAAAACAAACAAATTGAAATAGTGTAATAAAAGCTGGCAGTTTTTCATTTAAAATGCCATCAAAAATGGGTCATGGTCCATCCCATAATATTTCAACTAAACAATTTTAAAGATTTGATTTCTTATCAAATTTGTGTCTGTATAAATGATAAGTAAACAGAATTTCTTAGAAAAAAAAGCAAAAGGACCTTTAAAGTCTTATATCATTCACTAAAATATTACAGAAATATTAATAAATTTCATAAGAGTAAATGGATAAGAAGAAAAATAAATTTGTCCCCTTTTTTTTACTTTAGAGCCATAATTAAAGTACTTTTATAAAGCCCAAATCTGCAATACTACATAGTTTATTACATTGTACTAAATATCAAAACTTGAGCATATTACATGTATCTTCAAGAAAATCTTTTTTCTTTTCAGAAGCTTTTTTATACAAGCATGTGTACAGACAGTTATCTTTTTATTCACAGCTATGACTAATATATATCTAGTTTTTCTAGAACCCTTCTACACACAGTGCTAAATAATATTTATACTTGCTCCAGTTCTATGTTCAAAAAGTGACCCTGATTTATGTAATTTTGAGTAGAAAGTTAGGTTTCATACCAAATATTTAGTGACTTTTACTTACAATAAAAATTAACTTCTGATCACTTTGTACTTTCATGAGATAATGACAATAAACAGGAACTAATAATGAAAATCAGCACAAAGCCTTATAATGGCAAAGTGTTCTTTGACCTGATATCTTTTCCCTGATTTCATTTTTTGACATTACAGCTAAGTAGCTTCTAACTAATATTCTGATGCATTCATGTGACTCATAATGTAAGAATGAAAATAAAAATTTGTAATAAATACAGGCTCAAAATCATACAGAGGGACTGCGGTGATATCTTTGATGAGATAAACAAGGCGGAGTATAACATCTCTGAGAACGTACACCCACGCCCCTCCGAGCTGAGTGTGAAATTGTTGGAGTAGAAGACGAGTGAACAGTTGGTACATGAACAATGTACGTCTCTTTTCTGACATTCTATGACACTTCCACATCATAACAGATAACTCTAGCATAATCTTCTGTATACTGTCCTGAAAAATGTATTCATTTATTCAAGTAGAGTATCAAACAAAATCTGCACACTCTTCCACAAGTACCGTAGATTTGCGGCCATAAGTCGACCAAAAACGGTTGCCAAAATTGTCCATAAAAATCAACTTGACTTATGGTCGGTCGAGTTACTAAAAAATATTGATCTTATTAGGGTCTTTTTTGAGAGTTCTGAAAGCGGTGATGCTGGCTCATTTTTCAGGACAGATTGGTAAAGAAACATAGACATATTGTTTAAAGAATAAAACTATTAAAATGAATCTTATTTTAATTTTGCAAGGGATGCTAGATAATAATTTTCAGTTTTTAAATCAGCGGTCGGTATAAAGGAAAATTGGAAAATCATATTTTAATAGCAATTAGCAGAACACATTTCCCTTTGTTGCTGAAGAATATGAACTAAGAGTCGCTAAAAATATTTACCCTTCTCAATATATCCATGTGAAAAACAAAGTGTCAACAGGTGCTAATACACTGTACATAGACATACCGGTACCTTTGATCTTTTGTCAGGGCAGCTGTTCTTACGTCACGCTCAAGATGTTTGTATTGATTAATGATATGCACAATGTTTTAGTGCAGACCAAACAAAGACCAATCAAATTAATTTACTCAATTGTCAGACACACCCATAGCCAATCGTGTTTGATTAGCTCTTTTGCATAGACTTTTTTAATTGGATGAAGGCGTGTTCATAATAATTTATTCACACTTTCCTGTAATTAATGCTGCCTTAAAAGATCTTCAATTCGCACTATATGAAAATTAAAAACAATGTGACACAAATCTTAATCCAGTTTGCTCAGGTCATTTATGTATATTACACCAAAATTTGATAACACATTGATTGCATCATTTATGGCAGTCTACCCCAGACGCTATGTCACTTACTGTTACCTGTACTTTATACATGTTATCTGTGTAATTGCAGAGTTGTGTAGAGTTTATTTTAAGAGTACTGACTACTGGATAATAATTGGACTTAATTATTTTGGCCTTCTGGGTGTTTAAACAGGTATTATTTATCTGATACACAGACAATTAAAAGGTGTGAAAGTCGTTTAAATCAGACAAAGCAATACATTGGGACCAGGCAATTAGGGTCGCTTGTCACATGACAGGGAGTTGCTAAGACAGTCTCGACTGTATACTTTGAAACAGTCCTGCATAATGATAAATTTTCCTTCATAAAAATGCCCTTTACATCAACTTGAAAATTACCCCCGACTTATGGAAGAGTCAAGGCAAAATACCAACTTTTTAAAGTCATAATGTACCTCTCGACTTATGGATGAGGTCGAACTATGGCCGCATATCTACAGTACTTCATTAAATTCATTTGCATTTCTTAACATTTGTATTTTTAACAAGAGCTGTCGGTAGGACAGCATGCTCTACTATTCTAAGTGCTTGATAGTAAAAGAGCCTTGATAATGTTAAATTTTTTAAGTTCACAAAAGGGCTAATTTTTTTTTTACAAATTCATTTTATAGGCCTTAGAGAGAGTCTAATTATACAGTATTGGCTTGACTATTCTAAGGGTAATGTCACAAGGGTGTTTTATTGAGTATAATAATACTAATTACCTATGATGAATACATAAATTTGACAGAAAAGGTACAAAGGCTTGTTATTAAGATGTTTTATCAAGTAAATCACTGCTTTATTATTATGAATGCATAAATTGTCCCAAAAAAGGCACAAACCCTTCAGTAGTTATTGAGATAACAGCTTACAAGCAAACTTTACCATGCATTTCTAAGTTGAAAAAGGGGAGAAAAATCAGCCTAAATGCAAGATAGAATTATGGATCTTTGTTAGTGACCTACAATTATGACCCTAAATGCATATGTGAAGTTTTAAATAAATATCTTTAATAGTTATTGAGATATGTAAAACTTGCATGCAAACATTAACCAAGAGACTAAGTAGAATAGGGGATATGAATCAGCCTTAATGCAAGATAGAGTTATGGAACTTGGTCAGTGACATACAATTATGACCCTCCAATTATGACCCTAAGTGCATGTGTAAAGTTTCAAGTAAATATCTTTGAAGACCTTTAACCTTTAACCAAAATTTCTAAGTTTCAAAGGGGCAAATAATTCTGCAAATATTGCACGCAGAGTTATGCAATTTTGCAAACTGATGTACATTGTTACTATAAAAAAAGTGTTTTAAATTTCAATTGAATATCTAAAGCAATAATTGAGATATTTGACTTTACATAAAAACTTTAACCAAAATTTCTAAGTTCCAAAGGGGCATAATTCTGTCAATATTGTAGGCAGAGTTATCCAACTTGTCAATCTGTTGTACCTTGTTACTATAAATAAGTATTGTAAGTTTCAATTGAATATCTCAAGTAATGATTGAGATATTTGACTTTACAAAAAACTTTAACCACAATTTCTAAGTTAAAAAGGGGCATAATTCTGTCAATATTGTAGGCAGAGTTATCCAACTTGTCAATCTGATGTACCTTGTTACTATAAATAAGTATTGTAAGTTTCAATTGAATATCTCAAGTAATAATTGAGATATTTGACTTTACAAAAAACTTTAACCAACGCAGACGCCGACGCCGGGGCGACTACAATGGCTCTCATATTCTTCGAATAGTCAAGCTAAAAATGTATACATAACTCTTGTATTTTCAAAACTTATGTAAACAGGGATTTTTTTTGGCTTATTTTACAGCCGTTATTGGGTCATATTCCCAATTGAAAATAGTATATTATTTTCGCAATCCACAGAAAAATATTCCCAATTGAAAGTTAGAAAATAAAAATATTGAATAAAGAGGTCTAAAATCTTTGAAAATAAGGGCTTTTTCACTGTAATAGTGCTTAAATGTTTGAAGATGCCATCTTAGACAGTCATTGTCTGAATTCATTTAATCACTGCAAAATTTCAGTTTTGCATTTTTTTCCCAATTTTTAACAAAACATCGCTGAAATTCCCAATTCCATGGGTATGGGTCATGTTCCCAAAATCCTGGAAAAAAACCCTGGTAAATGTACTTATTTCTTGTATTTTCAAAACTTTTACACTTATCAAACGCATAAATGCTTACTCTATTACTTTCTTACTTTTAGTATCTTCAAATTTGAAAAGCAAATCAAGATTTTGCTCATTTATCTAAATTTTTCACAGTTCCCATGTGCCAGCACTAGCAATCACAAACATAAATTTCCAGCTATTTTGATGGCGGATGGCCTGATCTATAGTATATATATATACATAGTATATCTATGGCCATACTCTGTTGCAGACTTATGCATGTATATACATAAGGGCAGAATTTCTAGGGGGAAAAAAATAATTCAACATCCCATAAACAATACTATTACATCAAATTTGAAATGTTTGTCTGTCTGTGTTACACACCAATTTGAACAACATAATTAGTCCTATTTTGGTAGTCATTCCACCTTACCCACCTTCCTTGAATGACTTGTTTCTCTGCAAGTGACCCACTACTAATCCAACATAATTTCTAAAATCTGCTTCGAGAGAAAAATGACAATTAGATTCAATTTTGGAGATCAAATATGCCTTGCCTGATGACCAAACCAGTGACCCCTGAATTAACAAATCCGATACTTGCCCTAATTACCTAAAGAGGCGGTCAACATTTTTCATGAAAAAAAAACAACAAAAAACAGGTGATTAAGTAAGCTACTATCAACACTCATTCATCGCGGTCCAAACAATTTTAGATCTGGCTTGTTCATTCTAAATTACTGTGGTTTTAGACTTACGGTGGTTTTTGAGAGAATTTCAACGAGTGTTTTCCCACTTCCTGAGAAACTGCTTGTGATATAATCCAGTGTCCAGGTAATTGTCTGTGTGTTGTAGAAAGGTGGATTAGGTTCTGGGTTTGTGTCCCTATAATCACAATAAACATTCAAGATGTGCATTAAAGTATTAATTTGATACATGCAGTAGATATAGCAAAATACATTCATTAATAATATTATGTATTAGAACTTTTGAAATGTTCAGGATAAAAATTAACTTGATACATTTACAGATCAAGGGTTAGGTCATATAAATTAACATGATTCTCTAAGAAATCAAATACTTAGACATTAATATATATGGGCAAACCTGTTACACTTAGAAGTATTTAGAAGGACAACTCACCTGAACACTTGAAATTAAGTGAACATGAAATACTTATACTTATACTAATTTCTAAAATATTTGAAAAGCACGTATCTGACCATCTAAAACAATTTCTAGAAACTCATAAGTTTATTTTTAAGGCCCAGTCAGGATTAAGAACCAAGCACTCTTGTGAAACAGCATTAACAAACATAGTTGACAATTGGATAAATGCAATAAATGATGGAGAACTAGTTGGCACAATTTTTCTTGACCTAACCAAAGCATTTGACCTTGTAAACCATAAAATTCTTATTCAAAAACTACATTATTACCATTGTTCTTATCATACAATTAAATGGTTTTCATCTTATCTTGCAAACAGAACACAGAAAGTCAGTGTATCAGGTAAACTGTCAGAATCTGCAGAAGTTATATCAGGTGTTCCCCAAGGATCTGTCCTTGGGCCCCTGCTTTTCATTATATACATCAATGATCTCCCACTTCATTTAGAGACCTCAGAAATAGACATGTTTGCAGATGACACCACACTTACAGCATCAGGACATTCACCACAAGAACTACATGATAAACTTCAAACCAACCTCAAACATGTAAACAAATGGTGCATACAAAATGCAATGGTGTTAAATACACAGAAAACAAAGGCAATGCACCTTACATCAAATAATACACAGCTTCATTTACCACCTTTACACCTTCAAGATCAAATCATCCAATTTTCTGAAACTGAAAAGTTACTAGGTGTTTTTATCGATAGTAAACTAAAATGGAAAATCCAAATAGAAATGATACTTAAAAAATGCAACTCTCAGTTATACCTACTTCTCAGAATCAAGCAATACCTAGCCTTACATGCAAGAAAACTATTCTTTAACACATACATCTTACCACACTTAGATTATTGCTGTACTATCTGGGGCAATTGCAGCAATGACCTGATCAACGAAATCATAAAATTCCAAAAAAGAGCAGCAAGAATAATTCTAGATAAAAGTTACGATGCACCCTCCAGTGATTTGTTTAAAGAACTAAATTGGATGAGATTTGATGACAGAATGATATACAAAAAAGCAATCATAATGTTTAAATCTATCAATGACATACCATATCCACAATACATGCAAAGTAAATTCCAATTTGTTTACCAAAAACATGAGCGCAACTTAAGATCTACAAATAGTTCAGACCTAGCTGTTCCACGACCTAAGAAAGAATTTTTCAGAAAATCCCTAGTATACTCTGGCCCTAAATTATGGAATAATATCCCTCTTAACATAAGAAAATCTAAAACAGTTCAGGAATTTCAAGCTTCATATCTATCCTGGCATTTTTCATCATTAAATTAATCATTTTATAACAAAATTAGAATCTTATCATTTGATGTACCACCTAAAACATATTTCCCACTTCGTTTAATTTGATATGTACTTCTTTGACATGTATTATGCTATGAATGGACTGTAAATCTTTAACATGTATTACTTGTTCTGATAATTTCAATGTACATTGTACCACAATGTTGTTGCAATTATTTCTGTAATATTGTAGTTGTATATATTGTAAATTATGTTTTTCTTAGAGGCCCACATGGAAGATTGGGAAACCAAATGTGTAGCCTCGATAAATAAAGCCTTTACTTACTTACTTACTTACTTACTTATACACACAGGTACTGCTTAGAGCCTATATATTTTTAGATAAAAGGTTAAGCCAAGCAATATAACAGATTTATTGTTATGTTTAAATGTTCACATCCCTACTGATTGGTCTAAAAACATTAAGTGTGTAACACAACATCGTACTAGTATCTGATATACACAGTTTTAAATGCGTATGAAGAGAAGTTGATACAAACACATAGAAATTAACGTGTGTATGAGAACAACTTACCCCATGCAATAGAGATGAAGGGTTTTAGAGGACAATTTACAAGATACACACAGTGATCGGGTTTTATTAGGTCAACTTACACCTGACTCACACAGATTTAGTGTTCATAAGGACAGCTTACTTGATACTCACAGTCTACTTGATACTCACAGAGATGAAGTGTTTATGAGGACAGTTTACTTGATACACACAGAGATGAAGTGTTTATGAGGACAACTTGACTGATAAATACAGAGATTAAATGTTTATGAGGACAACTTTATGAGAACAATTTACTTGATACACACAGTCTACTTGATACTCACAGAGATGAAGTGTTTATGAGGACAGTTTACTTGATACACACAGAGATGAAGTGTTTATGAGGACAACTTGACTGATAAACACAGAGAATAAATGTTTATGAGGACAACTTACAGTGCTTATGAGGACAACTTACCGGATACGAATAGAGTTAGTATTTATGAGGACACATAACCTAATACAAAGATGAAGTGTGTATGGCAACATATTACCCGATACAGGTATGAAGTGTTTATGAGGACAAACTACCTGATACAGATATAAACTGTTTAGGAGAACAACTAACCTAATACACACAGAGATGAAGTGTTTATGATGACAACATATGCGATACACTTAAAGACTAAGAGCTTATGTGGAAAACTTACCTAATATTGCCAGTATCAGCTTCCGTATCATACAAACACATAAGAAGATTGGCTACAATCTCATCCAAACTGTTTACAATCTGCCTATCTACAACCTACAGGATAATAATACTTTACAATTTGTATTTTGTTTCCATTTTCAGTAACATTTGTAGTTATAAAGTCATGACACTTTCTAAGCAATTATCATTGACAGTGCGAAAGTCAAACCATCTACAATAATTATCTTGTTTAATAGCTTTCACTTAAGCCCTTGGTAAATGGTCAATCAATCAATCAATCAATCAATGGGCTTTGCATTCAACTAATTGCTTGATAAACTGACTTTGCATTCAACTAATTGCTTGATAAACTGGCTTTGCATTCAACTAAGCCCTTGGTAAATGAGCTTTACATTCAACTAAGCCCTTGGTAAATGAGCTTTGCATTTAACTTAGGCCTTGGTAAATGAGCTTTACATTCAACTAAGCCCTTGGTAAATGAGCTTTGCATTCAACTAATCACTTGATAAACTGACTTGGTATTCAACAAATTGGTTGATAAACTGACTGCATTCAACTAAGCCCTTGATAAACGGGCTTCACATTCAAATAATTGCTTTATAAACTGGCTTGGCATTCAAGTAATCACTTGATAAATGGACTTCACATTAAAAAGATAACAAAATTTACCTCTTCTGACAATTCTTTGGTGAGTAGATTATAGCACGCTGTAGCACGACCAATTTTCTTCTTTATTCCCGAATCATCTGTCTGTCCCATTTGTTTACTAGCAGCAAACACTGGTAAGATATGAACCACTGTATAAGGTATGCTGTTCTTTAACAAGTCTTTTGGTGATATACCAAGATTTGAGCCTATGATTTCTACACTGTCCATGTCTTGAATGAAAACTAACTCCGCTATAATGCTGTTTAAATACTTCCTGAAGAGTAATGAAATTAAAAATTTAAGATATCTTTTTCCAAAGCATACCGAGCTATTTACATAAACATTTTTTAATTGCATATATTATCAGCTAAGCAGAAACCAAGATTAGGGGCATGATTTTACTAGCAATAAGTTATATAATTATGCTGAAGTTTAATTCACATACCAATAAGTTTTGTAAAAAATTCAAATTTTTATTCTATTCAAATACCAAAGAAGCAATAGTAAAAACTTATTCCCCCCCCCCCCCCCAAAAAAACACTGCTTGTTCAAATATTTATACAAATAACAGATTCTATATCTGAAAAAAGTTTTTCAATCCATTATGTCATTTTTCGATTAACAGCATTTAGGTAGTAATACTGTAATGCTTTCCCGCCAAAATAATTCTGACAGCTGTCAATATTGTATTAAATTGGGCATTTTCAGAACATTATTTTTCACAATCTTTGGTATTCAATAGTTTTTTAACCAATTATAACCAGAATTTAGTACAAAGCGATAAAGGATGAGTGATTGTAAATAATCTAATGCCCAAGATTTTGAAAAAAGTTATAATCTGGAAATAACTGATTTGCTACAATATTGGTTGATGTTATAATTTTTTGGCGGAAAGCATTACAGTAAAACTAACTTATGTTTTGACAAGTAGATGTTAATATCACCATCTTTACTGATACAAATAAAATTTTTATATAAAGATAAAAAACAATGATATAAAAACTGGTTATCCAATTCACAAAGAAATAAATGAAATTAATCGAAAGAATTACTGGCTCTTGTACCTGTAAAACTGTCCAATATTTTCACTGCCCAACAATTTGTATGGAAACTCTGACACATCCCACCCTGACTGTAGCCATTTGTGTAGACAAAAAGAGAGGTAACTTTCAGTATACTTAGCGTGGGTCTCGTATCCTAAAATCCTAGAAACCTTCTGAAGAATCTAAAGTAACAAAATAAAGTTAAATTTGAAAACCTTAGTAGCTGACATTACATGCAGCGTATTTAATTTATACAGAATTTATTTAAGTTCAAAAGTGTTGAAAGCTTATAGAAACACTTTTCAATCTGTTTCTGGAACCAACCACTAGTAAACAATAAGTGTAAAGTTGTTTCACATGGTTTGAACCCACATGACAGGCAATCATTCAGATTTCTAGTCAAACACATTAACCACCTGGCAACACCGCAACAAAACTTTAACTAAAATATGTTTGAAAAGAAACAGTTTTTGTATTACATTTCAAGGTTAGTTTATAAAAATTTGTTTTTAGTTTGATTCTGTTGGAAGCTATAAGCTCATTGAAACACTCCTTTCCTACTAAGCAATGAATGTAAAGTTTCTTGCTCAAGGAATCAACAGCTTGCCCCTTACAGGGTTTGAACCCAAGCAGTCAGCAATCCTTAGTACAACGCATTAACCACTCGACCATGCTGCTTGAGCTGAGCTCAGGTGCATGTTGACCCAACTCTACAATATTGGCATAATTCTGTCACAATCTAAGCTAGTAGTCTGAGATTTAACTGTCAACCTGCTGGAAACAGAAGTGATTAACCTTTGCCACCATTATCAATCCAGGCCAGCCTGCACATCCATGCAGTCTAAGCAGGCCCTTCACTGTTCGTAGGTTACTTCTTGTATTTTGATATTGAAATCACTTTTAACTCTTTGAATACACTGTTTCAAATTCAAAACAAAGCATTTCCATTTCAGATATGCATCAGATTAAAAAGACATTATGTACATCCAATTTTTACAACAATTGTGTTCAAATTTATATTTTACAATTACAGAATTTTTTTTTATATTTTATCCTAAACATTTTTGCACATTTTGCATATTCACCATTATAATAATCAATCTATTCACACAGTAGTATAAAATAAAAGAAAACAAAGATAGCTGCTAGTGCAACTACATGTACACTACATATCACTTACTTTAATAACTATGTCTACAGGGACATCTTTCTCCTTGATAAACTGCATCAGTGAGAATACAACCAGCTTCTCACAGACGGGACTTGAACATATAACTGTACCTAGAGCAATCAGCATATCTGCTATCCTGGTTTGTCTCTCATCTTCTAGACGTTCTGGCGATAATTTTCCCTGCATGACAAAATTATTACTATCATTTATATTGGATGAAAATTATGTTAATTTTGATTTGTTATTGAGGTACAAACTTTCTGGTGCAAAAAATTATGGTCACTACATGGTACCGATATTTTGCTTTATGTTGTGTTTTTTCTTTCTTAAAATATTAACCTGTTTATTTTCTCCTTTATGCACAAACATTTCTAAAGCACATATTTTGCAATAATTCTTTTCTAACCTTTTGTCACAATAACTAATTTTCACATATACAACAGTGATAAACTTAAAAGCAAATTCATAATTATGTTGTTTATGTTTTTTCCCTTTTCAACTTAAAAATGCTGCATCTTCAGATTTTTTTTTGTAGATTTCAGCTAAACTGAATATTCTCTTATTACCATAGAAGTCTGATTATACAGTATTTCTTTGAATGCAAGGTTTGTCTTTAGTGTCAATTCATACCTAATATCAGACACAACCAGGCACTGTAAGTATAAATAATCACAACCAGTCACTGTTTCTATATATCAGACACTGCACCAGCCACTGCTGGTATAAATCAGACACATCCAGTCATGGTTACCATATATCAGACAAAAATCAGACAGTTAGTAAATATCAGACACAACCAGTCACGGTTAGTATATATATCAGACACGGTTACCATATATCAGACACAACCAGTCACTGTTAGTATATACCAGACACAACCAGTCACTGTTACTATATATCAGACACAAGTTGCCACGGTTACCATATATCAGACACAACCAGCCACTGTTAGTATAAATCAGACACAGTTACCATATATCAGACACAACCAGTCACTGTTAGTATATACCAGACACAACCAGTCACTGTTTCTATATATCAGACACAACCTGCCAAGGTTATCATATATCAGACACAACCAGCCACTGTTACTATGTATCAGACACAAGTTGCCACGGTTACCATATATCAGACACAACCTGCCACTGTTAGTATAAATCAGACACAGTTACCATATATCAGACACAACCAGTCACTGTTAGTATATACCAGACACAACCAGCCACTGTTTCTATATATCAGACACAACCTGCCAAGGTTATCATATATCAAACACAACCAGCCACTGTTAGTATATACCAGACACAACCAGCCACTGTTACTATATATCAAACACAACCTGCTACGGTTATCATACATCAGACACAACCAGCCACTGTTAGTCAAATAATAAACTTACCTGAAGTTCTAGAGAATCATTTAACACCATGAAGAGCTCAGAAAATACTTGATGCTGCTTATTCCTGTCTAATGGTTGCTTGCCTACTGTGTTCATGTCAACAAACAGTCTAATAAACAGAAAATGCTACTTTTTTTTATCATTCTTTAAATATAGTTACTTCTGTTTGCTTTACGAAGAAAATATGTAAAATATTGACCCTTTACTTCATAAGCATATTGTGAAAAATGGCCGTTTTCATTGAAAAGCCTCCTGTTACAAGTTCAAACTGATATGAATTCAATAATGATGAAACTTGACACAAATGTTGACTGGACCATTATCCATTAAAATTCCTGTTACCATGGCAACAGGGGGACATCTCAAAATTGCCAAAAATCACTATTTTGCATTGTTTTTTTCCCTTCAAAACTGATTTCAAAGTGCTGCAACTTCTCAATGGATTGAGATAGTGTGAAAGTCTTTTCAGTGTTGGTTACACATTACCTTACGATCGATCTTAGGTCATTAGTAGCCTGTCACATGTCTGAAATTTTCTTGGCGCCCCCTTCAAACCCCCAAAACAGAAGGGGGCACATCCACCTTCTGGCAACCCCTTGATGTACCTTCTATTTATAGTTCTGACGGCCATTTAGTGCAGCGAAACAGAACATGCAGGTGCTGTGCACAACTAGGGATGGTACTGATCACTCCTGTAAAGTTTGATTGAAATCCCACCAGTAGTTTGACCTGTGAAGGGCGGAGACCCGTAACCTTTTACCTCATATATACGCGAAACAACGCATTTTGACCCCCCCCCCTCCTTTAGGCCTCAAATAGTGAAAAAATAAAATGTCCTATTTGGGCCCAAAACACATGTTTTCGTTTGAGAAATGTTGCTAAAAAAAGTAAGCACTTTTTCAGTGCCGCCACCAATCCAAAAGATACATCAGGGGGTTGCCAGAAGGGGGATGTGCCCCCTTCTGTTTGGGGGGGTTGGAAGGGGGGGGGGGGCGGAGTCTCCCTCATCGCCAAGAAAATTTTGGACTTGTGAGAGGTAAAAATGACCCCAGGTCGATCATTAGGTACTGTGTAACCAACGCTAAAAAGCCTTTGACTCTATCTCGATCCCTTGAGAAGTTGCAGCACTTTGAAATAAATTTTGATGGAAAAAATCAAGGCAAAATAGTGATTTTTGTCAATTTTGAGATGTCCCCTCGTTGCCATGGTAACAGGAAATTTAAGACTGAGCATGTTGTTACAAAGGCAATGGTCCAGTCAACATTTGTGCCAAGTTTGATTAGTATTTAAGCATTTTCATAATTATATAGCAGTTTGAACTTGTAACAGGAGGGTTTTCAATGAAAACGGACATTTTTCACATATGCCCATGAGGGAAAGGGTTAATGCAGATAGACGGACAGACAGACAGACGGCAAAGGCAAAACAATATGTCTCCCGAAAATTTTGGGAGATATAATACCTGTGTAAATTTATTCATATAACTTTCATGTTCTAGCACTTGTTACGACTGTTTCAATAATAGGTCTGCCTGCTTACCTCAATAGGGAGAACATTGTATTCATAATCTAGTTCGATTCTAGCTGGTTCGATGTAATTTCTTTTTGACAATTGATCTCATACATTGAGTCTAATGGTCATTTGTCTCTTACCATTGATTCAGAAATCATGTGTCACTAACAGAGAAATTGGTAATTACTGGTTAGTTATCCAAGCCGGTCCGAAGGATCAACCTTAGATGTCACCCACAAATATGTTAAATTCGGCATTAAAAACAGAAAAACAATCAGTTTATATGTTTGGATAATTTATCTTACTTGTATATAGCAGAAACAGTCTGCATTCTAACATTATGGCACATATCCCCTGCACAGTCAACCAGTCTATTAGCAGGACTGGGACCAGACTCGTCCTGAGATGAGGGGCTATCTTCGTCCTGGTCTGACAGAAAACGTGACCACTTACAATATGGGTCATACTGAATAACAAAAATATTCAATTTTCTATTATGAAATGAACAAAAAACAATAATTTCTAAAAAGAAATCAAGTATGCTGGATCTACAACAAAATGTAAGACAAGTGTCTTTTTTTGCTTAAAAAAAACTTCCTTAATCAATTGGATTCAGTGGTTTAACCAATGTGGACGGCAAAATTTCTAATTGCTATATAAGATTTCTCTGCCATCCCACCATCTATCTTCAAGAAATGTTTCCAGAATACAATAGCGGCAGACAGCTGGACAAATGCACAGACATGCAGCTAAAAATACAATAAAGGACCATTTAGTTATTTTGCTATATCAAAGAATGCCACTGCCCATTTTTGTTTTCCTTTTTCAAACTTAAAATCAAATGGCACCATTATTCATATATCGGGTTCTGATGAATGATGGATGGACACACTAACACACATTGAGAACTTTCTCATGATTCCTGTGTGAAGATACAAAGGGAACTAAAAATATATTAGGTCTACTTGAAATTCAAAATATAACATTAGCTATGTTACATGATGTCAAAACATTACTGAAGAACAAAAAAATATGAACAATTATATAGTCAACCAGTCTAGAGAATTTCTTTAATTAACCAACCTGTGCCAGAGTTTCCATGGCTTTAGCAATACAGCTCCTTACATCAGATGTGTAGCTCTCTTCTTGTAGCTTCCTATCAAAGTACATGCAATACAACATTTTGTTAAATACTGTTTAACAAATAAGAGAATGCTTAATTTTTTTTCTTGAGAATAGCGAAAACAAGAACTGTCGGAAGACAGTAACGCTCGACTATTCGAAAAGTTGTCACAAGTGTGTTTCATTGAGTATAATAATGCTTACCAATGTGAATACATAAAATTGTCCAAAAAGTTACAAAGGCTTGTTATTAAGATGTTTTATCGAGTTATTATTATGAATGCATAAACTTGTTCCAAAAAAGGCCCAAACCCTTCCGTAGTTTGGAGATACCAGCTTACAAGCAAAAACTTTACCTAGAATTTCTAAGCCGAAAAAGGTGTATAATTATGAAAAAAAAAAAAAAAAAAAATCAGAGTTATGGGATTTATGACAATCATGTTAGATAGAGGCCAAGTGTGTGAAGTCCCTTCAGTAGTTATGGAGATAGTATACCAGTTTCGAGCAAAAACTTAACCAAGAATTTCTAAGTCAATAAGGGGCATAATTATGCAAAAAAGCAAATCAGAGTTATGGGACTTATGCCAATCATGTTAGATAATCACAGAGAACAAGTGTGTGAAGTTTCAATTCATTCCCTTCAGTAGAAATGGAGAAACCAGCCTGCTAGCAAAAACTTAACAAAGAATTTCTTGGTCTAAAAAGGGGCATAATTATGCAAAAAAGCAAATCAGAGTTATGAGACTTATGCAAATATGTTAGATAATCACAGAGAACAAATGTGTGTAGTTTCAATCCATTCCCTTCAGTAGTTATGGAGATACCAGCTTGCACACAAAAACTTAACCACAGGGACGCCGACAAATGGGTGACTGCATTAGCTAGATTATTCTGTGAAAAGTCTAGCTAAAAATAATGATTTCTAACTTTGACCTTATGACATGGGGTTGTCATATCAATGTCTTTATTTTTTTAATTCATAAAAACCACTTACGATTTTCAAAATTATAAACAAGAGAAAATTTGCCCGTCACAAATGTCCAGTCCCACAGTGAACCTTTAGTTTAAAATCCACAATTCATGATGATTAAACTGTCATATTTTCAATTTCTTAAATGACATTTGATCTCTGAATCTAACCTTGACCTTGGCCATAGCTACCTGAATTTTTGCACAATATTATGCCCAACAATTTTGAAAATTTATTAAATAACAATCCCGCTATGTGTAGTCCAGTCAAATTATTTACCATTAATCTTCTCTGATGACCTTGAATATTATTGACCTGAATTATGCCAATTATGACAATACTCAGTCCCATGATTGTGAACATTTGTGATATCAATCCTTAATTAAAAAGACCACAAAATTGTCCACATACACATTTTCATGTTTTTATCTGACCTTTGCCATCTAAGTGTGACCTTGACCGCATGGATCTGAATTCTTTGTGCAACACACTGTCTTGCAATGGTGATCATTTGTGCTGCATTAAAATCTCATTCTATGCATTTAGAAATTTGCTCCTGACATACAATTTCCTTTGACCTAAACTGAGACCTTGACCTTTGACCCAGTTAAATCACACACTACATTAAATGGTGGAGAACATTTGTGTCAAGTTATACAAAACTCCTTCCATGAATGCTGAAATTGCTTCATATAAAGCTGGATATGGCTTGGACAAACACCCCGGGGATGGATCCTATATTCTTCAAATGGACTTTTAATGAAATAAAGAGACTAGTATTTTCTTTAAATCATACATACTTCAATTACATTTATTTTGTATTATCTAAATTAAATTAACGTATTTAAATTTCAAAATCAGATAAGTTCATACCAGAAAATTTTGATGAGATACAAGACTGATTCTCTGCATTCTCTCAACACACTGGAAGGTTGGTTGTCATTCTCAGCTAAATGGGGAACAAGTCTAATAATGAGTTCCAGACTGACTTTACACACTTCCTGGTCACGTCGGTGACATCGAACACAGCTTCTGTGTAATAGAAATGATTCTAATATATCATATAAAATACACAAGTAACAGTACTCTACAGCCCCATTAAAACGCTCATGTTGGGGTCCAATGTCTCAAAACCGCGTTCTAATGAGGCTCTCATTAGGACGCTCATTGCGAAACTACCACATTACCCAACCCACCGCATATACATACAACGCTAAGGCTCCCACGATAAACCCTAACCTCTGCATGTTTTTTCACACCTTTAGCACTCATAAATGTCCTAATTACATTATTTATGTACTTGACTTTCAAATCGAACAAGTGTTATAGCAGATATGGGGCGCTATGAATCTAGATCTACATGAATATTTTTCTTTTCTTTTTTTTTTTTTTTTTTGGGGGGGGGGGGGGGGGGGGGCAAGGTCTGTGAGCACTATACTGAGATAATTTTTTGTTTGCGGTTAGGTTTTTATGTTGCGCTAACACATAGAGGTCATATGGCACCTTTCTAGCTTTATTGGGTGTGCCCCTCGGTACCTTGATTTAGGCAAAAGCAGGCATCTGAGTGCAACCAAATACTGCCTGAATCAGAGTGTAAAGAGTGGTCTACTGTTACACACAGGTGCCTGAAATAATGCCTAGAGAAGTAATATAATTATCAACAACACTGTCTTATATGCATTAGTGAGTTAAGTACATGTAATGCCTACATATCATTTGGAAAGTTTACACCATCAATTATTGATCAGTAAGACTTAAATCCTAAGAAAAAAACACATTATACAGAATACATGTATACCTTAATGCTGAAATCATGCCTTGAAGACTGTTTTCAGGGATAGTTTCCCCTACATCAGCTTGTAACCCAAGAAAGTAATGAGCAAGTGGTGTGAAGTCAACGACCTTAACCACATGCCCACGGATGCCCCTTAGCATTGATTGCAAGACTATGATATATCATTAAACTTAAATCCTAAGAAAAAAACATATCATGCAGTATGTACCTTATTGCTGAAATCATGGTGCGGAGATTGTTTTCCGGGATAGTTTCCTCCGTATCAGCTTGTAACATCACAATCTGCTGCAACTGAAAAAAGCATAAATTTATGCTAAAATCTATTGAATCCAATTAGACTAGAAATGCCCCTGTAAGTTCAGCTGACTTGAACCACTGGCATTTCCTAAACTACGTACTGGAATTAATTTAAAGCCATAGGTGAGCTAAAAAAAATGGCCAATGTTTAAGTTTCTGAACAGCAATGGGAACGAACAGCACGACTGTAGCAATAGCTTGAACTTTTTAATCATGCATATCAGGGCTTATATTCTACACTTTAAAAATCCATTCAATCATATATTATCAAGAATTCCAAGTTAAAAGTGAATACTTTTAGAAATTGAACCTTTTTACAAAAGGATAGCCAGGACAAAACAATCTTAGTAAAACAAGGGGCATAACTTTGTATACTTATATTTAAGAATCATCTGTTTTTGCCATATTGCATGACATGATGATAAAGAGCAAGAAAACCAAATTTAAAGTGAACAACTTCATTAGTTGTTGAGGAAATAGAACTTATAATCATTACAAGAGGGCCATCATGGCCCTTATATCGCTCACCTGATTACAAATGTTTTTAATGTCAAGGAATAAGTAATTTTATAAACTATAAATGAAAAGCAGATATAAAATCTAAATCTTAAACTGAAATCTCAAATTTCATATTTGTATCTGAAATAGTGCACAAGTAAAAACATCCTGATGGCAAACTGCCAAGGAAAAACAATAGTTACTAAAGAAGTTACTGTTTGGCATACAAAGTCAATGGTTTCCTTGGATGTCAGTTGTTGTTATAAATTTCAATGGTAGATTCAGTCGCTGCTATGTCAAGTTAATGTTTGCTATGTGTTTGCTACGGAAGTCACTGGTTGCTATGTAAAATGTCAATGTTTGCCATGGAAGTCACTTGTTGCTACAGAAATTTAGTTTGCTATGGAAACCCAATGGCTGCTTTGAAAAGTTGTTGGTTGCTATGGAAGTCAATGGGTGTTCTGGAAAGCAGATGGTTGCTATTAGAGTCACCAGCTGCAAAAGGAAAGTCATTACAGTTGCTATGGCAAGTTATGGTTGCTATGGAAAGTCAATGGTTGTTATAGGAGTCAATAATTACTATTGTAAGTCACTGTTCACAATGGAAGTCAAATGTTGTTGTAAAAAGTCAATAGTTACTATGGAAGTCAGTTGTTGCTCTGGAAAGTAAGTGGTTGCTATGGAGAGTCAATGGTTGCTAAAGAAGTATCTGGTTGATATGGAATGTCAATGGTTGCTATGTGAGTCACTGGCTGTTATGGAAAGTCACTGTTTGATATGGAATGCTATGGCTGCTAAGGAAGTCAATAGTTGCTATGGACTTTTATGGCTGCGGTGGAAAGTCATTGGTTGCTATGGAAGTCAATTGTTGCTATGGAAATTTATGGTTGCTATGGAAAATTAATGGTTGTTATGGGAGTCAATGGTGGCTATTGAAAGTTATTTGTTGCTACTGAAAGTTAATCGTTGCTATTGAAGTCACTGGTTGATATACATAAAAGGAAAACACCACTAGCCCCTTCTTGGATGGAGCCGATTTTAGGCGGGAGTCAATTTAGACACTAGGGCTATAATCAATGGAACAAACTTGGAAGAGGTTCTCTGAAAAATGATTCATACCAAATATCTAAACTTAAGCCTTCATGCTTTCAGTGAAGGAAATCTTTTAAAGTTTTATCTACAGTCAAAACAGTCATTTTGGCCTGCTGAATACAGGATCAAGTATTTTTTCAAATAATTATATTCCATAATTCTTTATGAAAAGCTCTTTCATGCTATCCTTACATATTTGTGTCTATATTAAATATAATTTAATCACAAATAGAGTAATCTGATTAATTATCATCATCATCATCTTATCATCATCATCATCTTATCATCATCATCTTATCATCATTATCATCAGTTTTTAACCATTTATAAATGTATGCTTTTAATGTTTAACATGTAGACTCCTTCTGAGATGGAGCTTTACATAAATGAAACACAAATAAACAAATGCACTCAATATTGATTATGTTAATAATTGACACTAATTATCTGACAAAAATATTTATCTTCTTGAACAATATTTAAAGATACATAGTTTCTTCTTTATCTTCACAATAATAATGATGGTTTATTTTTTACTTTTGATCAATGTGTGAAAGTCATCCAAGTTTAGACACTTTGATGATTCAATTATAACGGCAGTGACATGTTTGTAAACATCAAAGATTCTTTTGAAGAGCCGGCTAGTCACCTCTCAGAGGTCATCTTGTGTGTAAAGTTTCTGAGGGTAATTTCACAATCACAACATTATATTTATGCAATTTCATTTTCACAAATGTGAGCAAGTGTTTTTATGTATTTATGACTATGGATTTTAAACAATCTGCAATGAAAGTCATTTTCATTTCTTTGGTAAGTACCATGTACGCAACTAATTTATTAGAATCTGGATTAACTGATAAAAAGGAAAAAAATCAAAATCTTTTTTCCGCCTCCAACCATGCCTTTTTTCTTCTTCTTTATAAAAAAAAATAATTAGTAAATGAAAAAATAAACAAGAGGACCATGATGGCCCTTATATCGCTCACCTTATAATGAAGGCTTATAGTCCAAATTTCCTGATCGAAACAGTGTCCCCAAGAGTGTTAACAAGGTTTTTCCATATTGAGGCTGTGTGACCTAGTTTTTGACACCAGGTAATTCATATTCAAATTTGACCCAGAAATCGTCAAAAAACCTTTCTGACCAATTTTCAAAATATTTGGATCTAGAGTGTTAACAAGGTTTTTCCATACTTGGGCTGTGCGACATAATTTTTGACCCAAGATAACCGATATTCAAACTTGACCTAAAAATCATCAAAACAGCCTTTCTGATCAATTTCCAAGACATTTGGATCAAAACAGCAGCCTCTACAGTGTTAACAAGGTTTTTCCATATTTGGGCTGTGGGACCTAGTTTTTGACAACAGGTGACCCATATTTAAACTTGACCTAGAAATCACCAAAACAACCTTTCTGACTAATTTCCAGGATATTTGGAACAAAACAGTAGCCTCTAGTGAGTTAACAAAGTTTTTCAATATTTGGGCTGTGTGACCTAGTTTTTGACCCCAAGTGACCCATATTTTAACCTGACCTAGAAATCATCAAAACTACCTTCCTAACAAATTTCCAGGATATTTGCATCAAATCAGTAGCCATTAGAGAGTTAACAAGATTTTTCTATTTCTAGCTCCTGTGACCTAATTTCTAACCCAAGATGGCCCATATTCGAACTTGACCTGTATTTCATTGAGACAAACATTCTGACAAACTTTGTTTTTGTTCCAAACAAGGCTTTGACTGCTAGACTGTTAACAATCCAAATGTTGATGACGCACAATGATGGATGCCGAGCAAAGCCCCATCACTATACCTCACATTGACCACTTTATGGCTCGACCCCACTAAATTATTCTAATGATGATGCTATGCACAAAATATCTAAGACTTTCAGATAAGAAGATTTTTGAAGATTTCATTTTCAAAATCTATTTTTAGCCCTTCTGACGGAGCAGAACCATTTGAACAATTTAAGTAGAGCTTTATGCTAGGAACATCCCAGGAAAAATTCATCAAATTTGACCCTGGTGATTTCTAATAGAGAAGCTATTTGGAAACAAGAACATGTTTGCTCCTTTTCTTGTCAGTAGCAATATTTCAAAAAATGTTTACCCATTCACTCAGTTATGGACAGAAACATTGCCAAAAAATTGTAAACACAAGTTATATAGCTTGACATAGTCATGGCATTTAGTAATTAATATATAAGTTACCAAGTCATTGCTATGCATGACTTGTGAATGATAAATATTCAACTTTATCAAATATATATAAATGTAAGAAATCTATACTTGGCACCCTTGACCCGCTGACACCTATAGAATATCATGCAAGTTATCTTCCTACCAAATATGAAATACACCAGTCCTGTCAATAAATAAAGGCTGTATGGGCAAAAATGTTAAAATCTATTTTGAGCATTGATGACCTTGATCAAACTGACCCCTAACTCCATCCAAAGGAAGAATACCATGCAAGTTATCTTCCAACCAAATATGAAATAAATCTGTCAATAAATAAAGGCTGTATGGCCAAAGTGTAAAAATCTATTTTTAGCACTTGTGACCGTGACCCAACTGACCCCTAACTCCATCCAAAGTAAGAATAACATGCATTGAGTTATCTTCCAACCAAATATGAAATATATTTGTCAATAAATAAGGGCTGTATGGGCAAAAGTGTAAAAATCTATTTTTAGCACTAGTGACCTTGACCCAACTGACCACTTACTCCATCAAAAGTAAAAATACCATGCAAGTTATCTTCCTATCAAATATGAAATACACCTGTCAGTAAATAAAGCCTGTATGGGCAAAAGTGTAAAAATATATTTTTAGCACAAGTGACCTTGACCCACTGATCCCTACCCCAATCAAAAGGATGAATGACATGCAAGTTATCTTCCTACCAAATATGAAATTTATCTGTCAATAAATAAAGGCTGTATGAGCAAAAGTGTAAAAATCTATTTTTAGCACTGGTGACCTTGACCCAACTGACCACTAACTCCATCAAATTTTATGTTCCTATCAATTATAAATGACATCTGTCTATACAATATGGTTAATACACCTGTAAAAATGTAAAAATCTATTTTTAACATTGGTGACCTTGACATTGGTGACATTGACCTTGACCCAAATGACCCCTTACTATACCCAAAGAAGGAGGACCTCCCTTGGCATGTTTGTATTAAACATGAAAGACATCAACCAAAAAATAAAGGCTGTATGAGCAAAAATGTTTATATTTATTTTCTAGAGACCACTTACTCCACAAAAAATTAGAGGACCATTAAAGGTATCCACCTATAAAATATGCAAGATATCATTAAATAAATTAAGCAATTAAGAGAAATTTACGATAAATCCAACTTGCCAGAATAGGTCCTATTTTCAAAGT